ACGAGATGATTGAAGAGTATCACGACAAGTGTCCAGATGGATGCCAGCTGCACAAGCGCACCGAGATTGGGTTCGATTTAACACATACCAGACATGCGGAAAAGACTAACCCAGCACAGCTTCAGAAAAGCTTTCCTGCGCTATTATTCCGGAGGTATGGCCTTCGGTACCGAATTTAGTGAGATGCAAAACATCATCTTGAAAGCAGGCTTCGACCCAAGAACGCACGCAGTCATTTCCTACAGCACAAATCTCGACCTTCAAATTTTCTGGAAGGTATTATCTGATCTGGATTTGACGAATCACTCGTAGTCCCGACGGTCAAGGAAAACTTCCAGCTGAGAAACGGTTTGAACTACTACACATGCCTGCAGACAGTCAACATCCAACATGTGGCGAAGAACATGCTGAAGAGCGCGCCACGGGACGGCTACAGCTTAACGGGAATATACAGGGTATCATTCGCAATCGAAGAACTCGACATCATCCGCATAATCGCCGCGTTCGGACCGGTAAGTCACTGGCGACAAGAGCGGAGCGTTCTGGTGGCTTCTCCGACCACGTCTGGTCGTGATACAGACAGAATGGTGATACCTGCTCAACCCACCCCATCGCACCGGAACAGACAAAGAGTTCGCAGGTGGAAGGCCACTAAACGAATACAAGGGTAGCATGGCAGCTATCGGAAACTCTAATGCAATAAGTCCTTGAACTAGGTATCCTAAGACCTTGGCGAAGGCCGGCTTTCACGGACCCGAACGCTAAACGGAAGATCGGTACATCTGGCTACCTGACTGCATCATCAGAAGCGTACTCAGGCTACTCAAAGTATACCCCGGATTTACTACTTCACTTGTAAGCCCCACATTTTCAAGATTGAAAAGATTTCGGGGAACGGCACAGTGCCGAATACGCGATGGGTATTCTCAGCACGAAAAGTGGGATATTGTTATGGTCCAAGTTCATTACCTCAATGAGTGACATAAATGGAAGTGGCCTTGCATCGATCGATCGCGATGTCTTCCCAGCCGGCGCTGGGAAGCCAACATGGTCTGACTTATTCGCTCCTTCCAGGTTTTAGCCTCTGCGTGGAAGACAATGAGTAATTGGACATTATGCACTATGCGACTTAATTGCAGAGCCAACGCCAATCAAACAAACCACTACTGCTAGACTGTATGTATATTTGGACATAAATACAGGCCTGGATTTGGCAGATCAGCCACGTCGTGGTAGCCTCTTGAGACCTGGGCAGCCAAGACGATCTACGGCTTTAGTATCGAACTATTAACTCCAGCACGGTGTTCAAAGCTGAGATGTATTGCACTCATTGAAGGGGGCTTGCTGCGTCTACGACGTTGACGTCAGATTTACTCAAGTACACTCCGCAACTTCGCCCGGCCGCAGTATTGACACATGAATTGATGAAGTTAAAGTGTAAGTAGTCTCCACGCGTGTTGATGTATGCGCCGACGAGAGTTCGTCGGTAGGTTGTAGTCTGGAGTGCGTACCTGTTGATCCGTCAGAATGGGTAATCGCCCACCAAAAGACCTATTAGAGGCCGTGACGAGGGAAGGGGAAGCAGTGCCGACCCAGTCCGGCAATTCCATGTGTCATGTCGCCAAGGCACTACCCCGCGTATGGCTTTGTTCGCGTAGAGGAGCTTCACTCCTCAACCTCTCAAATAGCTCCTGTTCCCTTTTCCGATGGTGGCTTGGAAGATGGACTCGCGCGTGGTGAACGAAAGCCCCGTATAGGATAAATGCAATTGCCCTGACCAACAGCATGGCGGGCCAAGGCAGCTATACGAGCCAAATGAACCTTTTGCTGCAGTCGCAACGACAAGCTGCCGAAGACATCTCAAGATGAGCCGTGTGTATGCCTTGGAGTAAGGTCCGGACCACGAAGCAGCGCTGGGCAATACTTCCCCGCGTCGCAGTCACGACACTTACTTCACCACGGTGCCAGTTGACGACGTTCATCGAGAAGTTATGACTTCATCACGTTCGTATCGAGCTCGTTCGAGATGGGCTAATGTGAATAGCTTCAGGACTGGAGTGCCATGACGGTACTTCGGCTGTGTGGTGGAAGCCAACACTATGCTCTCCAAGACAGTAGGGCGTCTCCAACGTTGAAAATCAATATTGTGAGACGTAATTGTGCAGGCACTTGCCTAGAAGAGGATGAATTCGTGGGAGCGAGACGGGATAGCTCTATTACAGCCCATCTATCTATATGAGAGAGGTGAAGTATGCTGTTTCGACATCAGTCACCAAGCGGATATCCATCGTTCAATTTCAATCGGTCGCTGCAGCCATCTAATATTCAACTTTCGCTCACTACGAACTCAGTCGTTTGATCCCTTGGACCGACCATCATCATGCGCCTTACACAAGCCGCTGTCGTTGCCATCTTGGCCTTCACAGCCGCTGCAAAGCCCATCGCCGCTCGTGGTGATGATGTGAAAGCCCACGAGTACCAGAAGTGCTGTGAGCAGCGCGACAAGTACGATCATGGCAAGGTCTGCATTCCGCCCAAGGTGGAGGTACCCCACGTACCCGAGCCGCCTAAGGGTGACGAGCACAAGAATGAAGAGCCGCCAAAGCCGAGCCCGGAGCACCCCGAAGCACCCAAAGAAGAGGGGGAAAAAGACGATCATGATGATGGCAGCTACAAGCCTCACCCCCCGAAGCCACAACCAGAGCATCCAGCTCCAGAGGACGACAAGAATGACCATGATGACGGCAGCTACAAGCCTCACCCACCTATGCCGCAGCCAACACATCCAGCCCCGCAACCTGAGCACCCAAAACCCGAGCATCCAGCTCCAGAAGAAGACAAAGACGATCACGATGACGGCAGCTACAAGCCTCACCCACCTATGCCGCAGCCAACGCATCCAACACCTCCGAAGGAGACGACGCATCCAGCACCCCCCAAGGAGACGATGCATCCGGCGCCGCCCAAGGAGACCACGCATCCGGCGCCGCCTAAGGAAACACACCCAGCTCCTCCAGCTCCTCCAAAGGAAACACATCCAGCACCGCCCAAGGAAACACATCCAGCACCTCCCATGGAGACACATCCAGCACCTCCCATGGAGACACATCCAGCACCGCCCAAGGAAACACATCCAGCACCGCCCAAGGAAACACATCCAGCACCGCCCAAGGAAACGCATCCAGCACCGCCCATGGAGACACATCCAGCACCTCCCAAAGAAGAGCACTTACCTCCATCGCCAAAGCCGGTCCCAGAGGCTGACCAACATGGGTATTACACCTTCGGCGAGGAGATTAGTCTGAAATGTGAGGGTGGCAAAATCGTAGTCAAGGGCCACAAGTACTAGATTGGTGCTGGGCGAGAGGAATGAAACAAATAGCACTCACCTTTTACCATCAAATTGTTGGCATAATACTATACCTGGAGCTGCTAACCATGTACTTGTCTCATGACGTCTATCATGTTTGTGTTGTGTGTTTCGACTACCGCCTTAATGTTGGTAGGTGGCGGCGAGACCGTTAATGATTCGAAGAAGCTTGAAGCATCCGCCTGCAAAGTTGATCAAGTTCGCATGTTGTGATGTTGGCCTTGAGGCGAAGGTAATGGATAAAGTAATCCAAGTCGACAGAGCAGCGGGTGTAATCTGCGATGCCAAACACGCGAGTGCACTTGCATCACGGGTTGTGAGGAATACCTCTTAGAAGCTCTTCAAGACCTCTGGAGACAAAGTCAAGACTCTACTGGCCGAGTTGGTCGCTTCGGCCGACGCGCACAAGGACGCCAAAGATGAAACCCACTTGCATAGGTAGAGCATGAGAACTCTAGGTGTTTTGCGAGACGAGGTCCGTGATGCGGCATGATCGATCGGGCAGAGGCAGTCGGAAGAGTGGTGATGTTCGCTGTCGAGAAGGCCTCGAGGCTGGCTGTGTGGCTGAGGCCAACGCGCCACTCACGCGTCTCTCGAACCCTTTCTTTGCTTGTTTGGAGGGCGACGAGAATGCGAGGAGTAAGCACGGGTACAGACGCGCTGCATGTGTTAAGAATAGTGATATACCGTCTCTCCTGCGGGATGATGCATGTGTACCTTGGAAGAGTGTCGCGTGACAGTGGGATTTCCAGTGACGTAGGTCCGTGCGGATATCAAACAGCTCGAGCTCCGCCCCGCCGCTTTCATATACAAGGCAGCAGCCGTCAACAACGCAACACTCGCCTTTTCTCTCTCACTGCACCCATTCACGCTTCATATTGTCCATCCCAGCCTTACATCACCCATCACCGCCATCATGATGAACTTCGTCCTCTCCCTGCTCCTCCAGCTGTCCATGTTCATGCTCGCCGAGGCAGCTCCCATTACGGCGCAGTCAGCTAAGCCCTGGCAAGCTGGCACCGGTGGCGGCATCATTGGATTCATCGTCCTCGTCCTCGACATTATCGCGTGGAGTAAGTACCCACAATGTGCCTAATAGCACGGTTGTCGCGCATCGATCAAAGCTAACACGTGCTCTAGTCGAGATCTTCAAGTCCAACCGTCCCGTCCCGAACAAAGTGCTCTGGGCCCTCGTCGTCTTCCTCTTCCCCGTCGTCGGCATGATCATCTACTACCTCTTCTCCAACCGCCAAGCCCATAACACCTACGAGCCCATCCCGGCATAGACGAGCCAGACAGGCTACGCGCATACAAGGCTTCACGCAACCGAAACGACCGCGCATCTGTATACGCTTACGCGCCTGTTGGGACGAGCGCATGTGCCGTCACGAGGGCAGATCGGAAGAGAATGGCTACCAAGACATCCTACATGAGAGGATCGGCTGCCGCTGATGATGTACAGGTTTTCACTACGGTTATCTGGCGTAACGGGTTCAATGTTTCATACCCTCTGACATGACAATCAATTCAATCTATGACCACCTAATTACTTCCCTTCAAGCTGAAGCCCCTACATCTATGCTAACAATCCTCTTCGCCTTCCACAAGACAGATCCCTCGCCACACCCTTTCAAACCTTCCCCAAGATACCTTCCGTGGTGGCGAATTTAGCAGACAGTGCAATAAGCCCACCCATCAAACTCATCACGCCACTGAAAATCGACACTTCTTTGAACCCGCCGTATTGATCGATGAACGCGCCGTTGATTGGAGGGCCGACGAGAACGGCGAATGCTGCAACACCCATACCCATACCCATGTACGTGCCAAGATTCCTCGGGTCCTAAAACAGTGAAGAGACCGAGTCAGCGTATGCCTCATGCATTTCGCACAGTTGACTTACCTTTGTACACTTGGAAATGGCTGCTGAGCCAGCCGATATGATGGTACCCGATACAAAACCGAACATGACCGAGTAGACAATGATACCAGCGTTAGTCGTTGGCTCGTTGATGCAGAACACCACGATGGCGGTGCCAATGCCGGCGAAACCGAACATATTCATTCCGCCCAGCTTATCCGCGAGTATTCCCGGAATAATACGACCAAACGTGGAGGACCCGTTGATCATGGCGAGGAGGTACGATGCGAGTAAAGGCTCCATACCTCGGCTGACGGCATAGACTGGGAGGTAGAAGACCGGTATCCACATGCCCATCATCATGAAGAACAGTCCTGCAACGAGCAGTACGTATCGCTTCATCTTCCATGCTTCGCCAAGGAAGACTGTTGTCTTGCGGGGTGGTATGCGCGGCTTGATGACGAAGCAGGCAAACATCATGAAAGGAAGCATGATGAAAGCGATGATACGGATGCACCAGCCAAAGGACAGAGACGAGTCGTTCAGAAGTTTGGACAGGACGATTGGAAAGATGACACCGCCGATGGAGGACCCTGATACCACGATACCGAGGGCGGCGGCGCGTCGCTTGTCGAAGTAATGTCCCATTACTGCAAAGGCAGGTGTCTGAAGGAAGACTACGCTGGAGCCCATGAGGATAGACTGCGCGAGGAAGAACTGGTAGTACTCGCTACACAACGACAGCATCATGAGGCCAAGGACGTATGTAAGTGTTGCAGGCCGCATCATCTATTCGTTCAAGTCAGTACGAGATCAGTGTCATGCCATCAGAAAATACTCACCCAAACACCAAAGCGATCAAACATCGGGCCCCCTACAACACCTCCAGCAAACTGGATGAAACTTGTCAGACTGCCTATCCACGCAATCTGGTCCATGCTGTGGTCTCTCAGTTGATGAGTAGAGTAGTATTGTTGCAGGACGCCGAAGCAGGAGGTAAAGCCGAGGCAGCAAAAGAAGATGCAGAAGCCGCCTAGAGCGTTCAACCAAGCTGTTAGGCCACCGTCAGGAGCAGGGCCTAAAGCAGCGATCTCGGCGTCAACGGTTGCTTGGCCGTCATCGTGGGCTGATTCGATAGATGCTTTTTCAACATCGTAGGAGGGAATGGAAGGAGTGCTGGTACCAGCAACGGCGCTGGGTTGAGCTGTTGATGTGGGCATTTTGACTTTGTATTGGAAGGGCTTGGATTAGAGTTCTGTGGCTCTAAGACAGTCGGGAAGTTGATGAGGGCTACAACACTCATCCTGACGGTTTATATGTACAATCTTGTTGCTTGTCATATCGTCATGAGAAGGGAGAGCAGAATCCGAGGTCGGATGTAACCTTGCAATTTCATTGGTCAATACTCCGAGAAGGCTTGGTTTGGCGTTTGTGAGGTAGGGTACATGGACATTCTAGGCGCGCCACTAGATAAATAATCCAGCTATATCCGAAAACTTATCCCCGCCTCGCTGTTATTATACTTGCACCGACTCCCTCCGGGCCGTAGATCTAACTTCCGTTTATCGAACAAAAAATCTACACGCACAATGACTGACTTCAGCCGCAGACGCAAGAGGCCTACTATGTGAGTCCATCCGGTCAACCTAGGAAAAGGCTGTATACCGTGGAGCCCACATTGACGTCAGGTCGCCCACTTTGCACGTTTTTACCTTGCTGTAGTCTGCAGACCTGTTTAGGTTTTCCTTGTATAAGGACAGAAGCTAACACATCCAGCTCTTGCGCATTGTGCCGGAAGCGAAAGCTACGCTGCAATCGAGAGACACCATGCAGTAACTGTCTGAAGAGCAAGACTGGCTCTTGTGTCTACGAGACTGGAGTGCCGGATAGAAGGCAAGTAGCATCCAATATGACGTGCGATGAGACATTTACTGACTTCGTACATCTGTCTTCAGGCCTGCCACATCGCCTTTCACACCCATCCAACCGTACATTGGAGGCCCAACATCCAGGAGCATACCTAGCATACCCTCAAGCTCATCCGTCACAGCGGCCAATACCGGCATCGACCGAAGTCCTTTCGAACTTGATGCTATGAGAGCACGTATCGCCGAGTTGGAAGACAGGTTATCGCGGGCTGAAAGCTCTACTACCCTCTCGCCATCTTCGTCGACTCCTGCGTCGATGCACACTGTACAGACTGTCAGCAGCTTTGCCTGTACAGTGAATGTCCTCCAAGACACCCGGATGCCTAGCGGTACAGCTATCTCTCGAGGCATTGCACACAAAAACCGAGTTTTCGGACAGAGCCATTGGATGAATGGATTCGTGAGTAATTGCCGATGTACGAACTGCATGTAAGACAAACACTGACTTCGTACACCCATCTTTAGGTGATATTCCGTGATATCATCGAGACAATTGAGCCCTTTCTACAAAGCGGAACGCCCAACGTAATCACCAGTATGCAACGAGCAAAGCCTTTAGCCCGGATCATCAAATCGCAACGCTCCCCAACATGGCCTACGCCTCCAACACGAGACCTTCCTCCGAAGCATGTTTGCGATGACCTCGTCGCTGCATATCTTCGAACCATGGAGACTCTCTACCGCGTGCTGCATGTTCCCAGCTTCCAACATGCATACGATAACATGTGGAAAGACAAATCGGAATCTAACATGGCATTTGTGATGATGTTGAAGTTGGTCTTGGCGATTGGAGCCATGATATACGACGACAAAGTGTGCATGCGAGCCAACGCGGTGAGATGGGTCTTTGAGGCCCAGACCTGGCTGTCATCACCCTTGTTCAAATCAAAGCTCGGTATCCAATATCTACAGATCAGCATCCTCCTCCTGATCGCACGAGAGCTTGTCGACGTTGGCTCTGAGCTTGTGTGGATCTCAGCGGGCGCGGTGTATCGAGCAGCGGTATATGTTGGGTTGCACAAGGACCCGTCGCAGCTTCCGAGTACGACGGCTCTTGAGACTGAGATGCGCCGCCGGATATGGAATACAATCCTGGAGTTGTCGCTTCAAATGAGCATGGGATCGGGTGGTCCGCCATTCATCTCATCGGACGACTTCAATACAGCGCCACCAAGCAATTTGGACGATGAACAACTCTTGGAAGCAGACCCTGTTGCAAGAGCAGATCATGTGTATACGCAGACGTCCATTGCTATAGCTCTGCGCAAGACCCTTCCGGCTCGGCTTGCGGTACTCCGATTTCTGAACGACGTCAACTCGAGCGGGACATATGAGGAGACGCTTCGCATCGATTCGGATCTGAGAGCTGCACATAAGTTCTTGCGTCGCACCCTACATGCATACACCTCACATACCAGCTCGTTCCCCTCACAGTTTACTCTTCAAGCTGTAGAGTTCATAATGCAGCGCTACGTTACCTGCTTACATCTTCCATTCTTCGCTTCCGCACTCAAGAATCCGGTCTATGCCTATTCGAGGAAAGCTACTGTTGACTCATCGCTCAAGATCTGGAGTATGGCTTGTCCGAATGCAGGCGGAAGCTCATGTCGTCCGAGCGAGACCGACTTTGTACGCATGTGCAGGTGCACAGCGGGGTTCTTCCGAATGTATACTTTCCACGGGTCGACATTTCTGGCTGCTGAACTGCGGATGCGAATACAGGAGGACGAAGGTGATCTCGACGCATTGCCATCATCATTAAATAATATTGTCGATGACGCTGCCAATTGGTACCTCCGCTGCATGGAAGCCGGTGAGACTGGTATGAAGGGCTACCTTCTTTTACGGCTCGTCGGTGCTTGGATTGACGCGGAAAGTCATCATGTAGACAAATCAGATCTGCCTGCATTGCTGGCGGGAGCCGCAGAAGACGCTGCTCAGGTTTGTATACCGGTTCTGGAAGCATTGGCTAGTTGTGAGGAGCCGCGTCCTGGTGGTGCCGGCATGGAGGGCAGCGGTATGGAAGAATTCGACTTCCAGTTCTCACCGGAGTTCACGGAAGACTGGGACATGCTCATGTCGGGGACATTCAGTCTGGACGACGCAGGGGTCTTCGACGCGTTCGTGTCGTGATAGTACTATTTCGCTGAGCCATCGAGTAGGAGCGTCGATATGCCGCATCGCGCGGCCTGAAGAGGAACAGTGGCTCTGATCAAGTAACTGCCGTTTCGCAAAATGACAGCGGCTGTCACATATCAGACTGAGGACGCCAAAGAGGGAGATTTCTGGGGCTGTCGCTAGACCCTAATGCATAAAATACCCGTGCGCGGATAACGATCATCCGCACTAACGCCGTTCCCCAATCATTCCATCATCACGCCGCAACCCATCTTACCGCCACAGTCTCCATCGCGACTAACTATTTCATCGCAGCCACGCTCTGTAGCTCCGATATTGCCCACTGGTGCTTATGCTAATGACGGCGAGATGGCGCGATCCATTGAATACCACGAGGCACCCTAGCGCCTGCCTAGGGGCGCTTAAGAGCCTCCGTGTGACCTGACACACCGTGAGCCTCATAACCACCCCTTATCCGGCAATCCACGTCGCAGCGCAGTATGAATGACAGCCATCATCGTTCTTGCGGCCTCATATATCACGGTAAAGTGGCCTGATTTCTTTTGCTTCCCTTGTCGCCTTCTTTCCTATCCCGAGCTTCTGGTATACCTCAGGCAGTGGTACCAAGCCTCACCACCAACGATCTTTCTTTCCTTTTCGTTCGTCCATTCATTCACTTCTTGAGGCGTGCCGGTCACCAAAATACTCTCCACCTAATAATACTTTACTTCTTTTACTTGCTGTTCAACTTCCGAGAAATCCGCTCACGAAAACATCGACAACGACATCATGCATTCTCCGCTCCTCACAAGCCTCTTCCTCGCCCTCTCGGTCTTCCACCTGGTGGCTGCCGGCCCTAATGCTGTTCCTATCGTCCCCGGCGGCCTCCTCAATACCAAACTTGAAGTTCGCCAAGTCTCCGCCACACCCTCGCAAGCCGATCTATGTCTCGACTACGAACGCACAGCCAACATGTCGACAGTGGGCGCCAACGGCTCCTACCGTACAGTCGTTATGCAAAAGGCTAATGTCGGAACTCTGACCAGCGCGCGCATGATGGATGCTGCCATCGCGAAGCTACCTGCGCTCACGGCCGATCCGGATTTGAACAACCGATGCGGAAACTGGACAGAGATTGCACTGGCGGAGGCGGAGAAGAACTTTACACAGGGGATTGTGGCACAATTTACCACTGAGGGGTTGCCTGTTGGCATCAAGGCTGGACCCGAAGTGTTGGTCATCGTGGGTGTTATTGCCACGCTCATGTCGATCGTATGGGTGTTCCCTGGTTAATCTGGGATGGATGCAAGATGCATGCTAGAACAAGTGGGAAAGAAGAATCCGGAGCGCACCAGAAGAGAATCAACTATACCCAAACATCAATACTACAATCAATCGTCACATGCATACCGCTGCGCGAGCTTTTCTTACTGCTCTTATCGAGTGTTGAAACATGTTCAGGAACAACAGTTTGATTGATGGAATGTAAGTATATACACAAATGAAGCTATGTACAAAACCGAAACACGCAACTACTTCAGCGCTCCTCCCTCTGGCCAGCCAGTATGTATCACTAGGGCTGTATCTCCTCATTCCCCTTCATGACCTAAAAGGTGACAACCCCTACACCGGCGCTCTTCTGCACAATAGCGCAAACACTGGCCGCTGGGTCCACAGTGTACTTGTAGCTGGGCGCGAATGAGCCCTTCTGCGTGATCTGAGTAGGACTGTTAGTGAAGATGTTATCCTTCTCGACCGCAAAGCCCTCCTCGTCAGAGTCCAAATTGGTGACAACAGCCTTGTCGACGTTGGTGAAGGAGTTGGCTTCAACCAAGACTTGAGCGCCCATGCGCGAGTTGACACCAGAGATACCACCGGAGTAGCAAGAGCTGTAGATGTGGCCGGTACCAAAGCGGATCGAGGGCAGACGCGAGTTGATGCCAGTGAAGGAGTTGTGATGGTAGGTCACGTGGAGTTTGCCCTTGTCCTTGGAGGCATTGTTGTCAGAGTGACCGACAAGCGAGCCCTTCCACTGATAGGCATTAGTACTGAGTTTTGCATAAGCGTAAAGGTGTTATGGAGACTCACGTGGTCGTGGAACTTGTTCCAGGAGAAGGTAAGCATATCGGATCCAGATTTGGCGTCAAGCAGGCCATCGTACGTATCCTTGTCGCCTGTCACACCCACGCTAGAGAAGTCGTTGTGATCAACCCAGACATTGGTTGAGGCCTCGATGTCGATGAGATCCTTTCCCTTTGGCGCACGGTAGAGTTTGAGGTTTCTGATGATGATGTTGGACGTCTTGAAGACCTGGAGGCCACTGTCTGTCAGGCCGGCGTCCTTGCCAACACCGAGAATGGAAGTGCCTGCAGTACCGACACGGATGATGCCACACCCAGTGAGCATGCCCTTGATCTTGATCACACCGCCGGCCTTAGCTGCCGCTGTGAGCTCAGCACAGGAGGCGACAGTGGTTCCAGCCCCGCTGCCTCCTCCGGTGGTGCCTTGGGCGAATCCAACAAGCTCATCGACAGCTGCAGCGCGCTTTTCCATAGGTGCACCGTACGCCGTAGAGGCAGCGGTCATGGCCACTGTGGCGATCTCAAAGAAGCGCATCTTGGTGTTTTTGTAAGGTCTGATGAGACTGAAGGTGGAAGAAAGAATGTAAAAGAGTGAATAGAGATCTACTCTGATCTGATGGAAGAATGTATTGGAGGTGACGATAGCTGATGGGGTCTAATGGTGTCTTTATACCAGATGGTTTAGATTGCTACGATCTGTACAGGCTCCATGATCGCCAACTTGGCCGCCCTTTAATACTGCGAATCGCGGAACCATCTTTAGCATACCAGATGTGGAGTTTCTCCGCGAATATACGACTTTTGTCTTGGCCTCCAAGACGTTTCGAAGAAGCATTCATAATCCACCAAGGACATTCATGTATAGCGGTCTCGTGAGCCAGTATGTGGTTGTGGCTCGAAGGCCGGAAATGTATCGCAATTCTGGGGTGCATACCTGGGGAAGTCCCAAAAGCCGACGGCCCTCAATGACTGCATTAGCGCTGGAGCCTCGGAAGAGTTCCTGGAAGCCAACTGAAGGAAGGAATCAATATACAAGTCGGCGCTACCGTTTGACAGCATCGTCCAGAATGCTTGGCTGGCTGTGGAGAAAAAGACCACCAATGGGATAAACTTGAGAAACAGAAGATCGCCATGCTCGTCACAAAGAGGACTGCGGTGGCTGTAATTGTCGCAGTGATATCGATACCTAGGCATCGATGAGTGGGCGGAAGAATTCTCGAGGCGCCACAGTGTACCTGACACATGAGGAGGTGGTAAAGTCGTTGTAAGCTAGGGTGAAGACGGGAAGGAACAAATTGGCTGTATCTAGGCTGAATTGAGACTAGCCTCGCGAACACGCCTGTCGAAACTCCCAAGATATCGCGTCAAACGAAGAAGAGTAATCACGTTCAGCCCATACTGCTGCCTACACCTGTTTCTCCTCCAGGACAGTCCACGGGTCGTTCGAATGCATGCTTCACCCACTGACGTCTCGGGCTATGCCCGCAGCAGACTCCACAAGATCACAGTCAGGTCCGCCATGAATACAAAGGCAAGCTCAGGCAAAGAAAATGTTCAGCCTTTTGGTGCGTATTTAGTGTCGAGTCGAGATGTTTGAGGCATCTGGATGCCCAAGATCGCCAAGGCCGTATCCGACAATCGTCGAAACACCCGTTCCTAGGCGCATTTCCTTTCGACCCCAGTTCGGCAGTATACTCTCCGCGCCTGAACATCGGCTATACCGCGGTGAATGAATCCTTTTGCAGCTCTGCTGGAGAGCATACTTCCCCTGACGAATTTATTATCGTCCTCCTCCGAATATTACTTCGCAGCAGTCGAGGACACGACTGCCTAGGTGGCGTTGGCTGAGATCGGTGCCACCTGCGTGTTTTCCCGATGTCCGACATGCGCCCCAAGACCCAGCCGAAGATAGCCATTGTCGAGATGCGCAGGGTGATCAAGAATGCATCGTTAGCAGAATTCTTCGTCGAATCGTTTGCGCAACTTGGCATAACGCGTTATTGTGACTGCTCATTCACAGAGTAGATCAAGCGGCAGGTATTCACAAAGTTGCATGGGTACACCCAGTCGCGAAGAATCTCTCTTAGCACGTTTTCTACCCTCGCTGACCGCCAGCCCACAACTCACCTGCAGATCGAAATCGGCCATGGCTGGTAACGTTAGCAGATACCTGCAGGTATCACCAACGTGCTTCCTTTGTAATAGAGCTTTCGGTCCAGATCACGCGCCGGCCGCATTACGAGCCTGTGGGCATATATTTGGCTACCGTTGTCTCTCGATCATCCTTAACGGTGGCGACGTCGACTTGAAGAGCACTTGGCCTGACATACCCAGCATTGGACTCAAGGGTGCCGAATGCCCAGAATGTCAGGTTCCGATCACAAACCTCGATAGCGAGCAGAGAGCGCTGTCAATACTCGGCGACATTAGCTCTGCTATACCGGACCACCGGGACAAACTCAACGCCTTCGTCGAACAGCTACGCGATAGCGTCGCAAACACCGATCCTGATGTCGAGCGTCATGACACCCTACACTTCTTCAAGAAATGCTACACGAGCGACGGAGACGACATCCTGCAGAAAGCTTTGCAAGATGCAGCAAGCGCCGGCGATTACTTCTCGCCGTTTCATGACGCGATTACGGCTTCTCGCGGTGCCAGTCCTCAACCCATGGCTTTTCCGCTCATTCGATTTTGTTTCCTACTCTGGGACGCTCACAACGCGATCGAGAGGAAGACAAGCCTGGCGATCAACATACTACTGTGGGAAGCCAACCGCTGCTTGGGTGTCAACAACCCATTGGTTCAGTGGGAAGATGTAGAAGAAGCTGCCGACTTGGAAAATACTCGACTCTTCCCATTGCTACATGGACTGACGATGCTGGTGTCCCAAGGCCTTGCACGCAATGGCTTAATGGACCCCTGGCCTGAAGAAAAGAAGCTCGATCTTGCGCAACAGTTTGCATGTGAATTTATTGGTCCGCACTTCGAGGGTCAGCCTTCAGATATGTGGCTGGCGAAGCTGGCGCTTGTTGTGAACGAACTCAAACGCCATCAATTCGAGATGGGTAGGAAGCCATTGACAGGCGTCGCAGCCGAGAAGAGCATCGTTCGAGGGTGGTGGGCGATTGCGCATGCAGAGGTTGACGAATCTGATTGAGCTGGTGTAAGTGCTGCTTCATGCATGTGAGCTACATTTTGTATAGGACCCCGTTACTTGTCTAAACAATACAGGTAGTTTTCCCCAGTTCTCTCTTGGTCTCATGTGAGGCCGATTCCGGGCTCAGCCCGGCGTGACGCGTCTTGGAGCGCTAGAATTATGGAACAGGCTAGACTTGCGGGAAGATCCGAGATTCCACACTAGCCGGAGACGGGTCTTCGTATATCGTATTTGCGTAATCTGCGTATTGCGTAGTAAAACCGTGATGATAAAAGTCGCCGGCTGCCAAAAATTGAGTTGGTCAGAAGCAATACTTTTCACTTCACCCAATTGCCCTTCATCATGAAAGCAAGACCAGATAGCACCCAAGCGCCGATACCAGTAGACTCTGAACGCGACGATGACGTATATCATTTCGGCGCACCACCGCCGTACACTGCGGAAGAGCTGACGGGCTCAATACCACAGCCAGGAGATACTGGAGTGACGAGTAAGCGCAAACCGTCTTATTATCTGTAACTAGGCTGACTGGGGGCAGATGACGGTCGCATCGACATTGACTTGAACTCGCGACTGACCAAAACACTCGTCAAGCTTGTACCGAAGCATGACAAAGATGAACCAGAACTAAGCCGAAGATTCACTGTTAGCCGACTATGGAGTATCCGTCTGAACATTGTCATCCAAGTCGTAGGAAGTCGAGGCGATGTACAACCGTTCATTGCCCTCGGACAAGAGTTGCAAAAGTACGGCCACCGTGTCCGCATAGCGACACACAACACGTTCGAAGGCTTCGTAAAGGAGTCAAATCTAGAGTTTTATCCTATTGGCGGGGATCCTAAAGAGCTCAGTATGTTATGCTGTAAAGGTCCGTACGTACCTTGTTAACATGCAGCAGTGGCCTACATGGTCAAGAACCCAGGGTTGATACCGTCCATGAAGAGTCTTCGCGAAGGCGATATCCAAAAGAAAAGGGAAATGATCGCCGAGATGCTCTATGGCTGCTGGCAGTCATGTATCGAACCGGACCTCAAAACTCAACAGCCATTTGTGGCAGACGCAATCATCGCCAATCCGCCTAGTTTCGCGCATGTACACTGTGCCCAAGCTCTGGGCATTCCACTCCATCTCATGTTTACCATGCCTTGGAGCAGCACCCGAGCCTTTCCGCATCCGTTGGCGAACTTCAAGAGCGACGAAATCTCGACCGCCCTCATCAACTATGCATCGTATGGCGTCGTCGAATTTCTAACGTGGCAGGGTCTGGGTGATGTCATCAATGGATTTAGACATTCCTTGGACCTTGAAGAGGTGCCGCTATCAGTCGGACCTGTACTTGCTTCTGTACTCAAAGTGCCTTTTACGTACTGCTGGTCTCCGGCTTTGGTTCCGAAGCCACCTGATTGGGCAGCGCATATCGATGTTTGCGGTTTCTTCTTCCGCGAACCAACGCCGTACACGCCGCCTCCGGAAATTGATCAGTTCCTGAGAGATGGGCTCCCACCGGTCTACATCGGCTTCGGGAGCATCGTCCTCGACGATCCTGCAAAGGTGACATCAAGCATCCTGGAAACCGTGCGCGCCCTGGGTATCCGGGCGATCATCTCTAGAGGATGGAGTAACCTTGGGGGCGACTTACCAAACGACAACAAGGACGTTCTGTTCATCGGCGACTGTCCACACGAGTGGCTGTTTCAGCATGTTGCAGCGGTTGTACATCACGGCGGTGCAGGTACGGCTGCGTGCGGACTACGTAATGCATGTCCTACTGTTGTCGTTCCGTTCTTTGGAGACCAGCCGTTCTGGGGAGAGATGATAGCAGCAGCGGGAGCCGGTCCACAGCCTATTCCCCACAAACTTCTGACAGCCGAAAACCTTACAGCGGCTATCCACTTCTGTCTCACGCGCGAGGCAAAGCAGGCCGCACGGGGATTATCTTCGCAGATGGCGAACGAGCGAGGCGTCGAGGCAGCAGTACAATCTTTCCACACCAATCTGCCTCTCGAGACTATGCGATGCGCACTGCTACCTACACAGGTGGCATCGTGGAAGGTCAAGAAAGAATCCATCCTTCTTTCCAAATTAGCGGCACAGATACTCATCGAGAATGGTTCCATCGATCCCACCGATCTGGAAAACCACGAAACCGATCCTTTCATCATCACCAATCAACGCTGGGACCCCATAACAAGTACAACTTCGGCGTGTGTTGGCATTGTCGGAGACATGGGTATGGCAATGAAGGGCATGGTTGTGGATCCCTTCGTTGAGCCTAAACACCCTGCTACATTCTCAGGAGCCTCAGCGTCTTCAGGAAAGCCGGGTTCAAGCGGCGCAGCTGCCGCAGGTCGCTTTGCCAAAGGCTTTGGTAGATTTGTAGGTGCATTCTATAAGGGTACCATCGTCGACCTCCCTCTCGCTGCCACAGAAGGTTTTCGCAACGTGCCAAGGTTGTATGGTGAAGAAGTCAAAGACCATGGGGAGGTCACTGGCGCTCTTTCTGGCTTCCAAGTCGGTGGCAAGACCTTCATCCATGGCTTTGCCGACGGCCTCTCGGATCCCTTCCGTCAGACGTATGAAGGTGGGAAGAAAGAGGGTGCGATCGGGTATGCAAAGGGCTTCGGCAAGGGAATGTCCGGACTGATTACGAAGACTGGCGCAGCAACCCTTGGGATTATAGCATACCCTGGAGATGGCATCGTGAAGAGTATGAAGTACTTGGCGAAAGGCGGCACGAGAAAGCGCATCAAGGCGGCAAAACGGGGAGAGACTGAGTGGATGGGCCGGAAATCCGAGGCTGACCTGAGAGCTGTGGAACTCATCCAAGAGTTCGACAGGCTAAGGAAGGGCAAGGCAAAGGTGAAGACGTAAGGGGCGGGATGATCTGCGGCGTTAGGAACTTTGGAGTTCGGACACATACCCTATTCAAATGATTATTTCTTTGCTTCGCGAAACCAGCCAGTTCGCATTTGGAGTCAGAGATGCCTACTCACCTTTGTTGTGACGTGTCGTAACGGCGAACGGTCCCCCTTGTTTGGGAGAACGAAACGGGAAATCGGGTCCACTTGGTTGCCTAATTTCGGTCATTCCGCTCCGAATCCCGTCCTTTCGCGCGCTGCGCGTGCACAGCCAACCCCATCATGCTCGTCTTTTTCGCATACAGATCGAGTACCTGGAATACAGACGAAATCCTATCATGGAAACGGACGCAGTAGGCAAGACCCCTGCGCCATATGGTCAGGCATGTGGCAACTGCGTTAAAGCGAAATGCCGATGTATGTTACGCGACGGCGGTGTTTGCGACAGGTGCGCCATCCCTTTGATCAATACGCTCACTATGGAGCAATCACACTCTGGGATGCACGTCAACCTAAGAAAAAGCCGAACACCCTGGAGCCTACATCGACGTTAGGTCACCTAGTTTGCATGCTTTTAGGTTGATGTAGGTCCAAATCGCTACCTTCCGCGCACTCGGGCTAACTTGAACGCAAAGATGTCACCGCCTAGGTAAAGAGTGCAGAGCTTCATCAGCTGTGCGCAGGAGGGCACCCAGATCAAACCAAGCGCCGAAGAGGTCAAAATTGGAGGACAAACTCGATGAAGTCGTCTCTTTGCTTCGAACACAGCGCACAGCACCCCTCACGACATCGCCCAATGATCAGCTCGTGCTAACACCCGACTCCTCCGTAATTCCCCACCAGGGGACTGATGGTCTTGACAACGACAAGTACTTGTCTAGTGATCAGTTGCACGACTTCCGGACGAGTTATCTATACTATTTCCCCTTCATGCCCATGTCGGAGAATGCTACCACAGACGAGCTTCATCTCAAATACCCGCTATTTTGCCATGCTATCCGCACAATACTCACTAAAGCAATAACGAAGCAAAGCCAGTTGAGCAAGCACTTACGAGAACAACTGGCTTCCAGGATCATTGTGCAGGGAGAACGGAGCATTGACTTGCTCTTGACTGTCATCATGTGCATAGCTTGGTAAGGACGCAGATCATGTGTAGTGTTTCCATCTTTAATGCTGTTAGGTCACCGTACTTCACGCATGGGAAACAGTTCCTGGGCTCCATGTGCGGTCTTGCAAAAACGCTGGTTAGCGATCTCCGACTCGACAAGCCTACGCAACCCGCGGGATGTCCAAGCCTAGGCCCTCGTGTTGATAACAAGGAAGTTCGGAAGACCGAGGGTAGTAGAGCATTTCTATCTGTTTTCATATTATGCGCCAAGTAAGTTTGCAAGTAACCTCATCGTAGCTCAACTGACGCTAGAAGTGTTGCTGTTATCTTCGAATATGACCTGATGCTCTGGTCGTCGCAGATCGAAGATGCGTGCGATCACCTCAGTAAGAACAAAGAATGTGAAGGAGACGTCATACTGGTCGCCGCTGCGCGTCTGGCAAAGATTGTTGTCAGCGCCGCCGAAGTATCACGAAGAGCTTCGGATGACCACAATACAGCAAGGCATGCTATGATGGCTATTGACCCTCTAATATTGGCGCTTAACAACTTCAAAAGTTCACTCCCTATTGAGATTCTACAGCACTGTAAGATCGTCTATCCGTCACCTCTTCCAGCGCTCAATTACTCCAGGGTTAATTATCGGTCTCACTCAAACCGCCCAGGTTGCCATCTACGATCTTGCGCTCTTAACAAAGCCTACGGATGAGCTGTCAGTGTCGAATCTAGCGTTCGAGCCCAGCCGCATCGAGTACTTTATGGAGCTTCTAGAGACCAGTAAAGCCTGTCGAGAACACGCTTGGAATGGCGGCGTCATAGGTCTGACGGCTCCATCGATGCTCGTATTCTCGTATTGTATCAAGACCTTGTACAGATTCGCCAGCCTCAAAGGAATCCCAGACTGGATACCACCCATCGTCCAATCAAGCTTCGACATCGTGCAATGTCTAGAGAGGTTTGCCGAGATTGCTGAGCAGGCTAACATGGAATTCAAAGCCAAGACAGGCGAGGATACTCTATTTGCTGCAGCTGCGGAAACGCTAAGGGGTATGGCACCAAATTGGAAACTCCCTACGAGCGAGCACGATGATGCCATGGGCAGCACAGTGGACGGATGGAATGACGGGTTTGGTGATATGGGGGTAATGGACTTTGCGAGCGACTTCTGGATGCCTAGCGTTTTCAATCTTTGAGCTTTGAGCTACGGGATGTGGCGTCCTTGCAACTTCCGAAACCCGCAACATCAACAAAGCAGCAGGCTAACGTGCGACTTCCTGCTATGCACAACGTTCAAATACGCTCTTGCCTGATCATTTTACATCTTTGTCGCTCGTTGTCCTTTTGTACACAAACATTTTACTGCCTTCCGCCCTAAATCTACCACACCCTGGACCTGTTCTACTTGAACCGGAATATACCTACATAATAGCCAGTCAACATGGACAGCGATGGCAACACTGCGCCGCCGGTTCAATATCTTTGTGGTCTTAAACTCTTCACCCTTCTCGGCAGTCTGACGCTCGTCACATTCCTGGTCTGCCTCGACACCTCCATCATGGGTACTGTATGTGTCACCTGCGTCGCTGGTATGATGTTCCGATTCTGATGGTATTAGGCAATACCACGCATTACATCCGAGTTCCACTCGCTTCCAGATGTAGGCTGTAAGTGTCACTGCGACACCGCAATGTGAGACGTGTACTGACTTTGTATACCTGTAATTAGGGTACATTGGTGCTTTTACCCTCGCTTCGTACGTCGTCTTCTTCAAACAACGTTTTGTTTCCCTTCCAAGTATGGGTGAACGAAGTCGAAGCCTTTACTGATGTCGCTACCAGAGCAACATTGCAACCACTTTCCGGCAAGCTCTACACACACTTCAACAACAAGATTGTGTTCCTCACATTCGTATCTTTGTTCGAACTCGGGTCCCTACTATGCGGTGTCGCTAGCTCTTCAGCCTTCCTTATCGTTGGAAGAGTGGTTGCAGGTTTAGGAGCGTCTGGTATCGTGAACGGCGCTATGACAATCCTCGCAGGGGCTGTGCCGAAAGAAAAGAGTCCAGGTGCGTTCTCAGGTGCATGAATTTTCCAATGGTGAACGCTAACAAGATGCGACAGTGTATACTGGTATAGTACTTGGGAGTATGCATACCGAATGGTGGAAGTGGGCATGACTGGATGCTAACCAGATGACAGCCGCACAAATGGGCATCGTAGCAGGACCGCTCATCGGGGGTGCTCTCACTGAGCATGCAATCTGGCGCTGGTGTACGTTGTTCATTCTATTACCTCTTGCTCTTCTCTTCTAAAGCTGACGGTAACCCAAACCCAGGCTTTTACATGAACCTACCCATCGGCGGAGTGGCAGCCGCCCTCATCGCCTTCGTTCCAATTCCCGAGCGCACGACGAAGCCGCGAGTTACTCTGTCCCTCGTCCACAAAATCATACCCGACCTCGATCTGCTCGGCTTTGCTCTCTTCGTCCCTCCGTCCGTTATGCTGCTCCTCGCCCTCCAGCTAGGCAGTGGTGGCAAGTACGCCTGGAGCTCCTCTGTCGTCATCGGACTATTCTGTGGTGCTGCAACATGCGCCGTCCTCTTCATATTTTGGGAGAGAAGAATGGGCGACCAAGCCATGCTTCCAGGTAAGCTGCTTGGACAGCGCATCATCTGGACGAGTTGCGTGTACGCCAGCTGCATTATCACTTGTATGATGACAGCGAGTGTTTGGATGCCGACGTACTTCCAAGCCGTGAAGGGCAATGGCCCGACTGATAGTGGTGTACACGTACTGCCGAGTATATTGAGCCAACTTCTCGTTGTTATTGCTACGGGGGCTGCAAGTATGTCTCCGCATCACTAAACTTATGCTTTCGGTAGCTTATTATTCATAGTATCTCGCATGGGCTACTATCTTCCCTGGGCGCTCGTCGGTGGTATCATCACCGCAATCGGCAACGGTCTTGTGTCAACGTTCACAGCATCCACGAGCGCCTCGGTCTGGATCGGCTATCAGATTTTGTTGGGCGCTGGCCGAGGATGTGGCATGCAGATAGTAAGAACAAGTCCTGCACAGGTTAAGGTCGCATCATTGACGCTTTCAGGCCATCATTGCAGTGCAGAACGCCGTATCTCCCGCCCAATACCCAGTCGCCTTGGCCAGTGTCGTCTTTTTCCAGAACCTCAGTACATCTATCGCTGCCGTCATCGCGAACACGATCTTTGCGCAGACACTCCGCTCAGCCATCACACGCTACGCGCCCACAATATCGCCCCAGGCGGCGATTGATGCTGGATCTAGTGCCAGTGCTGTGCGAGCCCTCGTCCCGCTTGGAGAACTAGATGGCGTGCTAAGAGCGTACTCGGAGGGTCTGCGCGATGTCTTTTACTTCTTGGTAAGCATAGCATGTCTGGCTACCCTTGCCAGCTTGGGTATGGGCTGGAAGGATATCCGGAACAAGCGCAGCAAAACGGACATGAATGTTGAAATGGATGAGAGATGTGAGACCGGGGACAAGTAGGCGGGTTATGTAGATGGCTAGCTGAAAGAGTAGCTTAAAGACTGTGGATTTGTAACTCAACACGCTGGTACTGAGGAGTGAGCATCTTGATAGGAATTTACTTAGCAACGCCCATCCAATCATGAATACGTTTCCATATCTCATCACTGTTCTTCTCCATAAACATCATATGCCCATTGCCATGAATGCCGACTTTTCCAAGCTCAAGATGTTCAGCCTTGGAACAGCCAGCTTGCTTGAGAAAGTTGACAGTGCAGTAGTCGTACGGCGCATGGTAGCTAGCTTCTGACGTAACGGTGAGAATGGGCAGCGGCGCAAGATTAGGAAGTCGTCTCGGGGCTGGCTCGGCTGCTTGCAATACGCAGGGAACAGTAGCATTGTTACTTGTCAGGTTGGTAGGCTGATAAACCTGTTGTACTAAGTCGATCGCGGGGTCAGAGACCGGAGGCGAATAATTCATCGGTATGTCTGCCAAGCCCTGTAGGTTTTGAAGTCAACAGCCATTTCAAATGAGACTGAAAGATTGGTGAACCTACCCATTTCCTCGCTGGTGCAGATCCAAAGACTGCTTCCTGAAAGGGCGGACCAGTCGGCTCCACCAAGAGGAGGCCCTTCGTGAGATGGGGCCGTGCATCAGCGATGAGCAACGGCAGAAGACCTCCTTGGCTGTGGCCAAGCAACCACGTGGGAGTACCGATGGAATCTAAGAGCTGTGCTCCTGCCGATTGCATGGTGCTTTGTTGATAGGTGGCATTCGAGATAAACTGGACGTTGGAGGAATAGAAAGCGTCGAAAGTAGGATCGCCCATGATGCCTGTTCCTGGCCATTGAGTGTGAAGGGTAGATTGGGGCCAGAGACGATATTGCTGTGGAGCAGTGAAGCGTTCTTGGATAAGCTCAGCAGAATAGGTCGACGGCGCATCAGCACCAGCTCTCGGTGCCCAAGCGGAGCGTCCGCGGAAGGTTTGATCCACGATGTAGACAGTATGGCCAGCCTCAAGGAATCGAGAGCTCCATGATATCCCTCCGTCTGGCTTCACGAGAAAGTTTGTGCCCGTCTGCGCTTGTCCGTGGATCAAAACAACAGGGTCTGTATCATGTTGTTTGGTGGACACTGGCGTTAACTTTTCGACGTACATTTGGTCCTTGAATATATGACCACCGTTGCCATCTTCACTATAGCCACCCCCGACGTAGAAAAATGTCCGGACTGCAGGTGTTTCCGTTTCCGCATGATGATGGTTGTGCGCCGCCGCAAAAGAGATGAGCAGCGCAAGGTGATGTAGCAACATCATGACGTGCTGATTTGAGGATTTTTTGCTGAAGGAACGGATAAAAGATGTCGATGAAGGATGCGGCGAGCCATTGCAACTGAGGTCAATTGCCGTGTGGAGTGGGCTTGGCTTGCAGCTTGTGGAGCTATGCCTCGATGATCTTTCTTGCAGGGGCTCATGCAGCTACGAGGCATAAGCGGCACCCTCAATACTGAGAAGTCAAGCGTGTCGAGAGGAAGCACCGAATTGCCACCACACGTAAGGACATGAGAGTCAAAGTCAAAGCCATGAGCTGGATTTCCTGGAAACATGCTGTTCAGAGTCTCCGCGTCCTCTGTGCCTGCGGTTGTACCTCTACTCGCATAGCAGCAAATCTGCCATCCTTGCCCGTCTCCGGGTCAAATCCACCATACACCGTGTCCTGCTCTTCGCTCGTAACCCTTGCCAATTCCTCTGCACTCCCTGTGCTCTTCAACGACGTGTTCCTGACCAACTCAAAGTTATCGCGACTATCGTCGGGAAGACGTTCGTGGTGCGTAACGCGGACCTCGTTGGTGACAAAGATTTGGGTCCAGGAAGCCATGACGGTGGGCCAGAATATGGGCATGGACGCACACATTATCGCGAAGTCGATTTCGAGGCAGGAGATGATGAGGACTTCGGGGTACCACCATGTGAAATCGAAACTTTGGGTCATGCTTTGACTGTTCTTGAAAGTGCTCCAAAGGCGAAGGATAGCCATGAGTACGACACTGCGTCTGTCAGTGGTGACGCTGTAGTGTTCAGAGTCTGCACTTACATCGAACCGAGGGCGAACAATCCAGTCATGGCAAGCACTTGTTTCCGTCTGAGATCTTTCCTAAAGTATTCCGTGATCGGGACGAGGAATATGGCAATATCGAACGCCATGTTCGTCGCAGCAAACGCGAGTATCGTGAATTTCGCCTCATTGATAGTGCGATATCCGAAGCCGTAGCATTTAGAGCCAGGTTGTCGATCCCAGAAGTTCCTTACTGGAAAGCAGGGTACCCAAGCCATGAATGAGAAAGTCAGGCCCCATGCTATCACCAACGCGAGAAGTACGATACAAATGATGCGGCGAGCGCCCTGCTGAAAGAGCCTCAGGTACTGTAGGAGTAGGGATATCTTGATGAAGACAGTGGTCGTATGATACGCGGCATTTGTGATATACAGCCAGATCATGGTTGGTTGCAACTCTCGTAAGGTGTAGATAAGATGATGACCCATGCCATAATTGGTGCCTGCGCGAGAAATCAGTACAACGACCACGAGTTTAGAGTCGTGCAGGCCTACCGTGGAGGAAGGCTATGATAGATATCAAGTTGAATATAGCCGCTAGGACTACGAAGAGGTCATCGAGACCGGGTTCACGAACAACTCGCAGGCGAGTATGAAGACGGAAGCCTACGACAACCCAGCACAAAACCTATGACGGTGAGTTTGTAGGACGTTTGTATTGTCGTGACGTGAAGGACCTACGTGGAATGGTATCGAGACACCAAACATCGTGCCTTTCTTGTTCGCCAGTGGTAAGGGCGCATTTGGGTTCGGGGGAGTTAGCATCATCTCCTCGACAATGCGAGTAAACTCGTCGGCCATGGCGGGCAAGTATCTCAGATGAGATTCGTTAAGATAACTGTGTGACAGGTGTCGTAGTCTGCCTGCGTGCGAAAGGCATCGATTACTCAACCTGCGAGCTGAGGAATTGCGACTTGCGCATCAGGTCATATCCCTAAGAGAGGCTCTACCCCATGCTCACAAGTGGCAGAAACGCCCTTACGCATGCTGGTCTTTCAGCCGGCTCTGCTAGTGATGCCGGCTGAGTCGCGTACGGCTATGGATGAAGGCGGCCCTTTCTCCGCCAAAACTTAAAATCCAGGAAACTCAAAGTTGACCCTATACGACTCAGTGGAGCGAAGCCCGCAACCTCGTTCGAGCGCGGTGAGAAGCCGTTCGGACGGGAGCGAGTCTTATTTCCTGAACTACCTAGGATTGCGTGTGGCCAGGATAAGCTGGCGGCGATGGTGCGACACGCGAGGCACCGGTAACCACAAGAGCCGGAAAGCCTACTCGTAGATTGCGCAAGCAACTGTAAATTAGAATGACAGAGAACACTCGTGGAACACTGTGGCATTGAACTTTCGAGCTCACGGAGAATCTCGACATCGCCACGCAGGTGCCCAGGTGGTTAGCTGTTGAGTCGGCCGCGCCAACTCTTTCGCTGTCCTGAGTAGCGCATGACACATGGCGCAACCTTCAATTGCAGATCCGGATCGCCTGCAACATCAGCAGTAGGCAGCACACATCCGTTGACGTGATCAAGGATATCCCCGCGGAAGGTGCTGGGCGTGGGCAAGGGGAACCATCAAGCCTTGATCAAAGTTCAGAACCGGGCCTATCCGTGCCGATCTTGTGTAAACTGTTGAGCTGTGTGAGGCCTGAAAACGAACCTTCAGAGAGGCTTGAAGCAAGCTGGTGAAACTGTCGCCATCACTACCAGCCGCACTGAGCTAGCGATACGGCACCTACGTCGCCGCGCTGAGGCCACGAGAATCGTGATAGCGAACGATGTCAATTCCTGCTTTCACCTGCAGCAGTGGAATTGTCACAACCTCTACAGCCACAGCGACGAACAAAATGGCGAGGTGAATGAAAGTATTTTGAGATTGAAGGACAAGATGCCCAGTCGACATTGGATGAAATCGACAATTCTATAAACCTGGTACTTCCCGTCCCTTTTACCCGCCAAACGCCCGTAGATGCAGCAAGCCACAACGCCATAACTCATGCGACATTGATCTCGACATTTTTAACTTCAGTCGTGCATCTTCATTTCCTCGAAATCATCCAGCAGTTGATCCATCGGAATCTGCAAGCCTTCATCCTCATCGTCACCAAGACTGCTCTCAGTCTCCATGGCATCTGCGTCGCGCTGCTTCTGTTCCTGCTGCGCCTTGTATAGCGCCATGGTAGCGCGCAGGTCTTGGTCCTCCTCGACGTCCTGCAAGAACATCTCGAAGTCGCGCTCCATCTTCTCTTGATCTTGCTTACGGGGCAGCATCTCGCCTTCATCCTTGTTGATGCGCTTGACGCGCCAGTTGCGCTTGTTCTTGTTCTTCTTGGAGCGCTGGTAGTACTTCTTGACAAGCATGACATCTGGAATAGCGGCCGCGTATTTGTTGTTGTTCTCGAGAACGTCAAAGAGATCGTTGTTAAAGTTGGTGTTGCTGAGGAGATAGCCCATGACGGAATCGCCAACGTGCAAGATACCGCCAAGATGTGTTCGGCAGTAGTATGTTGTGTCGTTGACGCCCATGTCGGAGGAGCGGGCTACGGTGGCTTCGGCGAGGAAGTGGCGGCCGACTGACTTGCCTAGAGGCTCGATGTCCAAGACAATGAACTCGGTCAGTTCCTGTACGTCTGCGAGGGGTCGGAAAGGTGTGCGCCAGTAGATGTCCGTGGCAACATCGGCTGTCTGGAGGGTCGAAGGGTCGAGTAGTTGTATGGAGGTGCCGATGCGGGTGCAGAGTGTGAGGGGCGAGATGTTGCCGATCTTCTTTGCGAGGGGAATAGGGAGGACTACAAGATCGTCTTTGCAGATGGGTACGATTTCGCAGGAGAAGGAGAACTTGTAGTTCTTGGTCGAAGTGTGGATATCGTGGGAGATGAGCTCCTCGGAGCGCTTGATGTTGACTGGGATAACGGCCTTGAGGAAGTCGCAGAAGCCCACGGCATGATTCCTCTGGGAGAAGAAGAAGTCGATACCGTCGTGAACTTCCTTGATATTGATCGTGTCCTTGTGGGCTCCGTGCTTGAGGATCAACTGCTCCAAGTACAAGAAGGTCCTCTTGTGTGGCACCTTCTGGCGGATCTGCACACAGGCCCTCCATGTGTTGTGGGTGTAACTCTTTGCGCAGTCTGGGCACTGGTTGTAGTTTTGTGTGTATTCGACCTCGAAGCTCTGCTGCATGATGGCGCCCTCGTTGATCTCCGACTGCACGGTAATCTTGACCTTGATCCTCCTGCTGTGGGGTTCCGTCCAGATGAAGCCGGCATCGATGATTCGCAATTTGTTCAGTCCGCGCAGTTTCTTCAGGCAGAGAGCGAGCAGTTCGCGCGATTCGGGGGCAGCGACGACCCAGGTGGTGGGTGGAGAGAGCCATCGGTCGCAGTCGCGGCACATGAGCAGGATTGCCTCGCGCTGAATGCCGCCCGTCACGTCCGTCTTGAGTTTGATGCAGTCGTAGCAAAAGGCGCCCGAGAGTGTGCCGTCAACCGGCGCGCCGCAGTCTGCGCAGAGAATGGTGGCCGAGTTCTTGGGCTCAGGCGCGAAAGAGCGCTGAGCATCCATCATGACGCCCTCCATGTGTGCGGTAGTGTTTGGATGTGAGTGGTTTCGATATTGCGCGTCACTCTAGGTATCAGAGGACCAGGGAAGGATATACAAGGAGAGAAGTAGCGGTCGGTGTGAGTCGGACAGGCAGTGACTGCTTTGAAATTGGTGCCCCGCGTGCCCGATGATTTTCAAAAGTTCGCCGCAAGCCCTCTTTCGCCCCCACTAGCTCTCTTGGCAGATGCATCCCTCCAGCGACCGCGACATCATATCAGTATTAGATTATAGACACACAATGACCAGGCTTTCACTCCGTGGTATTGTCATTAACAACTCATGCGACGAATACCCTGCATACAAGATAGCGTACTGTCATCACAATGCTGGTGCTACAAGGCCAGACATGTGATGGGGAAGTTCAGAGGACGCTAGTAGTGGCCCACAGTCGGTGCTGCGAAACACCGATGTCATCAAGAAAGTTGAACTGCGCAGCGCCATGCCACCATTCGTGTCTGCTCTATCCCACACCATGTCTTTCTCCAGGGCTGCCTCTTCTAGGTTCATCTGCAATGCCTGTCGGGGTACCCAGGTTCGCCAATCCACCTCAGTGCCCCGACCCAATGGCGCATCTTTGCGCACCGCGCCTTCGACAGTCTCACGATGCGCCTTCAGTACGAGTGCACTTCGGCGGGTAGACAAGAACGATCCTTCCACCGACGATCCCGGGTTCGCCTTCCTCGACGACAGTTCCAAGCCTGTTAACGAGGACACCGTATCCCAGGAAGCCGCAACAGACCCCTCCGAGGGCTGGAAAGAAGCTGCGCCAGAAGTCGCGACCGAAGCCTCGCCATCTACAACGCCACCTTCCCAACAAGACAATGCAATCCCGTGGTATCTCAGACAACAGTCATCGGTCCCGTCGCCCGCATTGAATCCCGCCCAGATCCCAGACCTCCCCCCGAACCCGCCACCTCTCCTAGCGACCCTTCTCGAATATGTCTCCATCACGGCCGGTCTCGACGACTTGCAATTGCTCGACCTGCGAAACCTCGACCCTCCTCCTGCGCTCGGCCCCAAGCTGATCATGCTCATCGCGACAGCGCGCTCGGAAAAGCATCTCCATGTAGCAGCCGACCGATTCTGCCGATACCTTCGACGCGAACACGGGCTGAAGGCAAATGCCGCCGGTCTGTTGGGTCGCAATGAGCTGAAGATCAAGCTGAGGCGAAAGGCCAAGCGCATGAGGATGTTGGCAAACGTGGGTGGATCCGCACCCGAGGGCAACATTGACGATGGTATACGCACAGGCTGGATCTGTTGCACACTTGGCAAATTGGAAGCGCATCCCCATGACACACACATGCCAGGAGATGATGTGAAACAGTTTGTCGGTTTCAGAGACATCAAACCCGGCGTCAATGTAGTCGTGCAGATGTTCACAGAAGAGAAGAGAGCCGAGACAGACCTAGAGACATTGTGGGGTGGAGTGCTGAGGACACATCAAAGGAAGGACAAGACCGCCGATGAAGCACTGAAGGAATTGGAGCAAGACATCGAGGATCTGGAAGAGGATGCCGAAGACCTTGATTATCCAACACAAGAGTCGCCGCAGGCAGTCAACAAGTCGCCCTCCGAGTCTAGCAAGACTGTCAGTCCGCCGACACCCGCGCAACAGATACACCGGCCTCGTCCCACTCCTGGTGATTTCTTTCCACCCGCTTCAACCCCAGAAAAGAGGAAACAAATACGCCGGTTACACACAGTTGGTCTTAGATGAGTGCACGAGCGCTACGATTGAACGACTTGTACAACATGTAGAAATACTGTAGAACTCGCTCCTGTGCGAATTAAAATGGTGCAGGACGCTACACTAGAAGACTTTTCAATGACACACTACAGTAGTGTTATGGCAAACAATTGGCTTCCATGGTGTACAGGGAGCATAGCAATGCGCGCACGTAACATCGAGTATGATACATATATAAACTAACAAAAGCAGAAACTACATACTACAAAGACATCAGCAAACCCCTCACATCATAACAGCCATGCCTTGCGCGGTTCTTCCTGCCATGCCACCCAAGTCGAAATGCTGGACCTGCTTCATCGACCCTTGACCACCGGAAACATCGAGCACTGTAATCGCCGCGTTGGTGGTTCCATTGCCAGGACTCAAAGCATAGACAAAATCGCCTGCAGCGCGGAGATCAATGAGACCAGGATCGCCATTAGCAGACAGATCGAGCTGCATGATGATGCTCGCGTCATCCAGGCTCATCTCCACGACACGATTGACACCGACGTCTGTAACGAACGCGCTGTTTGTTGCCTCGGAAATCGTGGCCCAGCAGGTTGCTGCTTGACCGTCGATCTTCTGGGAGCCTTTGACTGTCGCTTGGCCTTGAGAATCTACCGATAGGACGGTCGCGCCAAAGGAAGCGTCGGTGACGAAGAGGGAGGATGGATCATTGGGCATGACAGCTGAGCCGAACAGCACGGCGGTTCCTTCGGGTGAGCTGCGAACGTCTTTCTTCGAGAGAGCGGCGGCGCCGTTGGAAGCTTGCACTGCGTAGGTGGAGAGGAACCCCGTGTTGTTCACGGCTGGATCGCCTTTGACGGTGGTGAAGAGAGCGGACTCATCGGATGAGAAGAACGCCTGGGACACGGTGTTTAGGGGTCCAACGGGGGGAGTGGTCTGTCCGAGGTCGAAGGGCCGGAGGTCGTCCATCTGCCCAAGCCCTTGCTCGGAGAAAGGTGCGCATGAGATTCCAGCTAGTGCACCCGTGGTTCCCACGCATGCGAGCTTGTTCTTTGCAGATGCTGCGACGGTGTTGGGGAATTCTCCAGGTATGGCTATAGGCTTGCCGGCGCAGGCGAGTGAAGTGGGATCGTTGGATGATATAGTCATCATGGTAAGCGTATTGGAGCCAGCGTTCACGGCAAACAGATTCTGGAAATCGTTAGTCATACTTTCTTCTCGGTGTTGTCCGCGTATCCGTGTGTGTAAACTTACGTTCCCAACGACAGTCAATGCCGACTGGCCAACCAATGCATCAGGCGTCGCGGGTTCGCCATCTGCATCGACAGCAACAGAACCCGCACCACCCGTCTTCATAACTTTGCCTTGCGAAAGCATACCATCGGCTCCAATGGGCAGCGCAACGACAGCGTTCTCGGCATCGTTAGTCAGCATGTAGATGGCTTTGCCGACAGCAGGTTTTCCAGCACTCTGCTGCTGCATGCAACTCATGCCACCTTGTTGTTGTTCCTGGTGCGCGCCTGGACGGGGTCGTTGGTGTGGTTCTGCTACCACCATCGATGGAAGGAGAGCGAAGAGGAATGATTTTGTGAACATGTCGGCGGTGTAGAATACGCCGTCAAAACAGAACAGATATTAATGGCGAAGTGTAAATGGGTAGCTTGAGAGCGAATGTATGGAGAAGGTAAGATAGAGAGTCCAGCTGATCTGTTGAAGGCCCCATCATCAAAGACATATCCTTCTCTTATAGAAACTGCCTTGGAACCAAATCCTCATACCATTGCGTTCCAAGAGCCCGCGATTATTCGATCAAGATTGCCTGATCCGGAATGGCGTATGATTTCAGAGGACGACCGGGGGAGCAAGCCACTTCTACAGCCTCAGGCTGAAGATGACAAGGATTCTCCGCACCACCCGTCGCTTGGTTTCAAGGAAAATGCAGCGCGAAGAGATGGCACATATCGGGTATGCGGTAAATACGAAACGGTGCCTGTGTCAAGCGAGCGCTTCGTCGATCTATTGCCTGAACGAGTAAATTTGATTCTGAAGCAATTACTAGAGACGGCTAGCCTGGAACTCCCAGCTGAGGACAGGGCCAGGGCGCGCAATCTGACTTGTGACACCGTGTCTCAACTGCGCCCGTCAGACATGTCAACCGGGCCGTCGTCATTGGCGCGACATTTGGGATGGATACGGCATAATGGGAACACTAGACTTGGCATCTGCGCAGCACGCGCAGCTTCGTCGCCTTGATCGCTCTTTTCTTCCGAGAGAGACTGATTACCTATCGGGCTTCTGCACTTTGGGACCATAAGCACAGTGGCCCATTTCCGGTCTTCCTATCGGGTGGCTGACAGAACACCATATCTGAACACCTGAGCACCATAGGCTGTGCACGTGATGAAGTTCACCTTCAAGCCCTTCAAAGGCGACAAGAGTTCTCCCGACGGTATGTCCAATCAGGACCTATGAAGCTCCAGATACGGGTTGCTAAGCATGCATCTCGCTGTGTTCAGACGATGGCGATACGCGTAATCCAGGACAAAGGCGGCGAGAACAGGTTCGACGAGCGCAGAAGTACGTTTCGATTCCGTGTTCATACGTCAGGTGCTCTACTGAACATGTATTAGAACACATCGCGAACGCAAAGAAGCATACACGGCTTCTCTCGAAAGTGAAGTAGTCCAGCTCCGCGCGAATGAAGCTCGATTGTCGCAGGAGACGAAAACACTGTATTCTGAAGTCGCTTTCTTGAAAAGTCTGCTGACTCAGAACGGGATTGCGATACCCGATAGATCAAGAGTGGGGGTTGGTCAACAGGAAGAAGGAGCGAATGTAGAGAGTGAGAAGAGGATAGCTCTGACCGTTGGGCAAGAGGAGAATAAGAAAAAGAATCGACGGAAACAGATATACGTACAGCAAGTGCCTCAGGAATCGTTACGTAAGTACACTACGGCTCGATTACGACAAGTGTTCTCAATCCGTTGTAGCTGACACTTGTCATGCAGCCGGCTCGGCACAGCTCATAAGTCCGCCGTTGTCTGGCTCCGCATTATCAGGATACACATCCACCACGGGTTCGCCTGGTGGCTCTGCGATATGCATGGGTAACATGGACCCAGAGATCGTTGGGATGGACTTCGTCTTGACGTATGAGCCCCCTGTTTTCTTTCCTCACTACGCCGTCACTAAACTCATACGTATAGTCTCGAGTCTCCCTGTTTACCACATATCGATGTGGCTTCGCCCAATACTGGCAGCTCCGACACAGATACTTCTGCTTCGTCCGGCCACGCCTTGACGGTCTCAGCATGCCTCTTTCATCATCACCCTTCACCACCTGGGCAACGACAGTTCTCTCCTTCGACTTGGGAGGTGCCACAGGCTAGTATAGACCAGCTTTTGGCACTGTCTAGTTGTGTTCCGCTCCAAGACGGCGAAGTCACGCCAGTACAGGCGTGGGATTATATCCGGCGACAAGAGGGATTTGCGGGACTGGAGACATACAGGTGGGACAGCTTGAAAGAGAAATTGGTGGCATTGGTGCGGTGTTATGGCTTTGGCGGTGTGGTTGAAAGAGAAGCTTTTGAGAACGCGGTCTTTGAGGCTTTTGTGGTTGGGAGGGTGTTCTGAGGAAACGGGAGCATCTGGAATGATTCTCTCTTTGCGGAATACGAATCACAAAGACCGCAGATTGCGTACACCATTACGTCGGCTCTTTTTGCGCATGGAGATGTTAGTGCGATAGCGGCGAGGTGAGCGCTGCAGGGCCGCAGCTAGTTGCCGTGGTGAGGGTATTATTGTATTATTCCCGAACGCCCAGTCACCGCTGGCAAATGGCACGGAGGTCGTGTATACGATACATATCTCTTTCCACTCAGTTGGCATTCCATCCGATCTTGTACAAGTCGCCGATAATAACAGCATTGTCAAAAAGGCCTGCTCCTTCTCTTTACTGTTTGGCGGACCTCGGCACTGAGGAGCCATCCTTGCATCATCCATCGTAACAAGCGAGATACGGATACGGGATCTGCGCGGCTGAGTGGTTCGGTTGTTGGCGGACCTCTGGACCTGCGTCGCGTGTCGCTTCCCCAACTCACGCAGCACGCAGCAACGGACAAGTCAAATGTCTGCCCGATTTTGAGCAGCACAGCGCGACGCCAACCAAGAATGAAGAAAACTGGGGACGACAAACCCCACTAAACGCTCCCGAAAAGCTTAGCCCTCGACTAATCGATAGATCGCCCAATCGACAGCCCCACACCAAACAACGACAGCAGCGTCATCAGCGCCTACGTCGCCACCTCGGGCCGGGCGACTTGTCAGCATAGCCACCCAAGAGATAGAAATAGTATAGTACCTGCAGCCAGCCCGTAACCCGTGAGACACGCGTCCCGGGCTTCCTAAATCCAAGGAAAACAATAACTCTCCGGCTGCCCCGGAAACACTGCGGTTCTTTGTTCATTATCCACTCACTCCGCAACCAAGCTTTTGCGCACTGCCTACCAAGCACTGCGCTGAGAAAGCTTCGAATACCCATTCATTCGTTACCTACATTCGCTATCGACAATCAGCATGGTAATGTGGAAGGGTATTGTTTCTGCTGCCGTGGCGGCGCTAGCCACCAGCGGGGCAAAGGCAGCCAGTTACGACGACATACCAGACATTGAGGTCTATGGCCAACATTTCTTCTACACAAACAATGGCTCGCAGTTGTGAGTACACGCCCATTCTGCCAGTCTAGAGCACGATACTGACAGCATCCAAGCTATCTGAAGGGTGTCGCATACCAGCAGAACTACTCTCCCAATGGCTCGACAAGCGCCGATACCAAATACACAGATCCATTAGCCGACGGCGACGCCTGCCGACGAGACATTCCCTACCTCAAGCAGATCTACACAAATGTCATCCGCGTATACGCTATCGATCCGACCCAAAACCACGATGACTGCATGGAGCAGCTGGCCAGCGCAGACATCTATGTCATCTCCGACCTGGGAGAGCCTGGCACGTCGATCGAATCGAACAACCCAGAGTGGGACGTCACGCTGTATCAGCGATACACAGGGGTTATCGACGCGCTGAGCAAATACAAGAACGTCATTGGCTTCTTTGCTGGCAACGAGAACGTCAGCAGCGACAACCAAACGGCTGCTGCCGGATTTGTCAAGGCTGCTGTCCGCGACACCAAGACGTATATCCAAAACCAAGACTACCGCAACACGCTAGGTGTGGGTTACGCGACTGCCGATGTGCCGTCGCGCAATGAGCTTGCGCACTACTTCGCATGCCAGCCCGGCGACTCAGGAAACAAGACGTCCATCGATTTCTGGGGCTACAACGTCTACTCATGGTGTGGCGACAGCAACTACGCTTCTTCTTCCTATGGCGAGCGCGTCGATTTCTTCTCCGACTACCCCGTCCCTGTCTTCTTCGCTGAATACGGATGCATCGAAGGTTTGGATGACGGACCCACCAGCCGTCCATTCACCGAAGTCGAGGTTCTATACGGCAACATGACTGACGTCTTCTCTGGAGGTATCGTCTACGAGTGGTTTATGGGTGAAAACGACTACGGACTCGTTTCGCTCGTTGACAACGGCGCCAGCGTATCACCCTACCCCGACTTCACATCTCTTCAGAGCCAGCTTGCCTCCGCCACTCCAACTATCACTCAGCGCTCTGAATACACACCCACGAACTCGGCGCCTGCCTGCCCCTCAGTCGGAGGATCATGGCTCGCGCAAGCCTCGCCACTGCCTCCCAACGTCAACCCCCAGCTTTGCGCTTGCATGGTCGACAGCCTGCAGTGCGTCTACAAATCCGACGATGACGACAAGTACGCCGACGACTTCAACTTCATCTGCGGCGAGAACGAAGATTACTGCAACGGCATTGCACGCAACTCCACAACCGGTGACTTCGGTGCTTACTCCGGCTGCGACCCCAAGGACCAACTTGCTTTCGTCGCAAACCAATACTACATTGGCCAGAAGAAGCGCGCAGATGCTTGCAGCTTCTCAGGCAGAGCTAGCATCCAGAGCGCAACCACTGCTGGCAACTGTGCCTCGCTACTGAGTGCTGCGGGCAACAAGGGCGATGGTAGTGTACCTGAGGCCACGGGCAAGGGTACTGCAGCTGTGAGTGGTGGCAGCGGTAGCGGTGGTGCAGCAAGCTCCAGTTCTGAGGGTGCTGCTCCCAGCGTCAACGCGCCTGGTTTCTTCCCCCACGGCGATCTAGTCATGGGCGCGTACGCTATTCTGGCTGCGGGAAGCTTACTCGGTATGCTTGTACTGTGAGTGAGCGAGGAGTGACCTGGTAATGTAGTATTCTTGGATGATGTCAATGAGCATATGTGGCTAAGGTGGGGGATGTCTTCTGGCGTTTATCATTCAGTGATACACATGAGCAATGTAATTCAAATTCTTTCTATACTTCGATAACTGTACATGCTGCGTGTGTCAAGTCGAGGTTCACCTGGTCTATGAACATGAGCACGTTAACCCTATCAAAACCGTCTTGCATGATTCATTACAGTGTCATACCAAACTTTCAGTCACATGCGTATCACAATCATCGGAGATATCAAGTTGCACCAACTCCAGATACATTCTATGATCTACGAGCTGGCCTTTTCTTCTTGTTTCTTTCTTTCTTCGTGTAACTACGCTGCAGTAGCGCAGTACATCTTTGTTCTTGCTGCAATGGCAGCGTCTCGTGCCTCGTTGCCGCTCTATACATTAGAGTGCCCAAGTGACCGTACGTACATAAAACCCTCAGAGATCAGACATATCACATCTGAAATCTGACGACATGCCAATCCTGTCCTTTCCAGGGAGATATCGCTGTAGAAAAGGGAAGGCCCAGACCCAAATATACAGCATCCCCGACGCCGACGCTACGCTTGAAGCCAAGAACTGACATTATAACATTCTGCTGAAATCAATGTAAAGTTGATGGTTTGTGAACCCCGAATACATCCAAGCTCGAAGATGAGCCCTTCAGCCGAGACTGTACAAGAAGCTAGTACATGTTGGGTGGCCCAGGACGACCTGGCTGCTGGCGTGGAGGTCCGCCGAATTGGCCGTCGAACATCATGCGTGGATCTTCACCACCTCGCATACCGGGCATTGGGGGGCCGCCATAGCCAGGAGGTGGGAAGTAGCCAGGTGGGCCCTGCATGCCATTACCACCGGGTCCTCCTGGTCCGCCTGGAAAGCCTAATCCGCGGATACTGCCACCGGGCGGAAAGCCAGGAGGATGACCAAGCGGTGTGTTGCCAGCTGAGAAGCTCGGTCCTCCAGGTCCCATTTGCTGAGGGTTGGGACCATTGAGGCCAGGTGGCTGGCGCATTGGACCGCCGAATCCTGGTGGTGGAGCGATGTTCGGCCGCTCTTGCGGTGTTGGCGGCATTCCTGGTTGACCTCGTCCGCCCATATATGGCATATCCGGTACAGGCTGCGAAGGTATACCCATATTGGTTGGCATGCGCGGGTCACCTCCTGTGTTACGGCGCTGGAGGCCCATGAGTGGATCTTCTGGGGTGGGATATCCCATTGGCATGCGCTGGTTCTTGGCTCGCATGGACTCCTGTTGTTGCTGTTGCTGTTGTTGTAGTCTTTGCATATGCTGAAGCTCCAATTGGCGATCGGCAGCCTCACGACGCAGCATCTCGTTCTCTGTGAACATACGAGGGTCTTCCATGAAACCTGGGGGCAGACCGCCACGACCCTTGGCCTGGTGTTGAGCAGGGTGCTGAGGCTGCTGTCTTGATTGCTCGAAGAAGGGCATGTTGTGAGCTTCCTGAGATGGGCGAGGCAAGTTGTGACCCTGTACCTGCGGTGGTGTAGCGCGAGAAGGTTGCTGCATCAAATTCAATAGGAAGTCACGCTCACGCTGCTTCGTGACTTGATCGCGTTGCGTATCCTCGCGCTGACGACTGTTCAACAAAGCTGCGAGATTTGCATCTTGCGGGGCGTTACGTTGCGGCGGGGGCTGGTGAGGATAGTGATCTTCTGGATGGCCAGAGTCAGGGCGTGGGGGTCTGAATTGTTCAGAAAGCGCATTCTCTGGCGACATGCTGTTGAAGCGCGATTGCTGTGAAGGTCGAGAATCCGGTGGACCGGCACGTGGAGCCAGAATGTGCTCCAATATGCTCTGCTGTTCGAGTGTCCTTGGAGGTGGTCTACCGTGCTGCAGATCCGGCGGCGGCGATTGCTGATGAAAGTCTAATGAGACGCCTCCACCCTGCCTCATACCGTTCGTTGGGGTTGGCATACTCGTAGGGGGTTGGGGTCCCGGGGAAGGCCCAGTGCTTACTTGACCAAGCATCTGGAGGATACGCTGGAAGCCTTCTTTGTCGGCGTTGGCTTCCATGGCAGGTGCTGGCGATGCAGGTGCCGGGGCCGGCATTTGGCTGGGCGCTTGCGATTCTTCAGGTTTCGCAAACATTGTCATAAACCTCGATTTCTTATCTGGCTTGGGTTTCGCCGAGATGGTCTCTGCTGGTGGGATCTCTGCCGACTTGTCTCTACCCCAGTTGCCGAAGAGGATTCCCTGTGTAGGTTCGGCCGCAGAAGGCGCGTGCAGGGGCGCAGTCAACATAGGCGGAGCGGTGATTGAGACAGCCGTAGATATTTCTGCGGGAACCTCTCTTGATTCCTCCTTTTCGCCAGCCGGGGTATCTTTAGCCCTCATTTGCTCCTTCCAGCGCTGGAAGTCCTCTTGTGTGCGAGGCTTGAACTCCTTCTTCTCCACTTTGGTGTCCATCCATTCTGGGTCTTCTTCACCACGGTTACCGCCCCTGTTCCATTCGCGGCCGTTGTCTCGCTCGCGATCTCGGTCTCGTTCGCGCCAACCGCCCTGGACGCCGGTCTTTGTACCCTCATCTTTATCGTCGCGACGACCCCAGCGCGGCTCGTTTCGCTCGCGATTGCCACGGCGTGGGGCTACGTCCATCTCGGGGTCCCCCTCGTGCTTGTCGCGGTTGCGATCGCCATTACGGTGGAAGCGCTCAAAGTCTTCTTGGCCCAGACTCTTGCGTCCTTTGACATTTGTCCAGCCCTCACCGTCCTCGCGTGGAACGCGACGGCCATTGGCGTAGCCCTTGTCCCGGTTCCGGTCGTTTTCGCGGTCCCGTGTCCACCGGTCGTTCTTTGGAAAGCGGTCGCCAACGTTGTCTCCGTCTGTAGAGGTGAAGCCTGTGCGTTCTTTTGTATCGCCTGCGCCCTTCGCTGGAGTGCGCGCCGAGAGGAAGGCTAGCTTTGGCGGACCGAGCACTGTCTCTTCGCCAGGTTCTACAAAAAGCGCGTCAATAGCGGCCTTGATACCCTGAACATCAGAAGACTTACGCATGCTCTGGCGCCGACCGAATTGGCCCATGGGGTTGATCAGCGGTCGCTGCTCATTTGGTGTAGCCCCTTCTCCGTCTCGAGCGGCCCGAGTGCGACGCATAGTTCCATTGTTGTTGGCGTGGGCATTGTTGGTGTTTTGGTCGGCAGGCACATCCATCCATTGCTGGATTGAAGGTAGCCCGTCCGGCTTCTTGACGAGGGGAGACTCTTTCAAAGCCAACAGGTCAGCCTCCGAATAGGTAGGCCCCCGCATTCTCGCGAGCTCAATGCAGCGCGGATGAGCAGGTGTGTGTGGGCTAGGCGAGGCTTGCTTTACTCAGGGACGAGAGGCAGACCGAGAAGCAGGCGGTGTAGTGTTTGGTTATTGGTGATGGGTGAGGAGGCCGTCCTGAAGCGGGCGGGTGGTGAATCGCTTGACTCGCTTGCAATTGAACAGTGCCCGCTCTGCAGCCCTTACGAGTACTAAATATGCGGCCTCGATGACGGTTGCGCTTTGAAGAGACGTGTACGATGGTGTGATGCTGAGCGGTGGCAATGTGAAAGTTGAGCAGACGCGTGCGTGTCGCAATTCGTTGAAGGAGGTGAGGGAGCTCGAGGTGGGATGCAACGTGGTAGGGGTGTGCGGCGACAGAAAGCGGAGAAGAAACGGTTGCGAGCTCACTGCTGACAGCAGAACAGCAAGGTTGGGGTGCAAATGTCTTGGAGAGCTCTGGGATACTTGGGGGTAGGCAGCGGGTGTGCGGTTGATAGCGCAGATGTTTGTTGTGGTTTTGAGTCCAGGTCGCGAGCGGTGCGGGCCTCTTCGAGAGAGCCCTGGGAGATGCGCGCCAAGAAGTGCTGCGGGAACGAGTGCCTAGCAGGTGCGTCATATTAGGGTCCAGCACATGTAACTTCAGCCTGCACTTTCGCTGAAGCCGCATCTTTACAGTAATCACGACATGATTGCGCATGGGAATCAGCCCATATCGCGTGATGGTGGCAGCCTTGATTTCTTGCCAGGCAATCGCGCCACAAATGACCTTCAGATGACCTCTAGATTAGGAAGTCGCAAACAACGCCCTGCAATGCTTCGGAGTGGCTTCCCCAACGCCGCATACGGTTTACAGACATGTACAAAACTACAAAACTCAGACCTTGCATAGCGAAGCGATCGTTTCGCCTAGGCTGTCACTGCTCCATGCAGCTACCTTCTCCCGGTCGCACGTGTCGTAGACACGCCCGGCCAGTGTCCTCAGAGCGCGATGTCGCGGATCATGGCCATCAAGCATCATCTGTATCCACGGGATAAGCCCGCACCTCGTGATGAGCGTCGTACTGCCTTCCACATGTGTTGCTCGCAGCAGTAGCTTCACGATCTTGTCCTTTGCCGACGCAGGACATGATCGGGAGCCGTAATGAGTCAACAGCTGCTCAAATATGTTGCTCCTCCTAAACAGTTCCATATCTGCAGGTGTCCGCAGACTGTCCAGAAGATAGTCGAAGTACCAGTCCACTTCCTTGTGGTAGGTGGTGTCGTCGTCTGGTTGACTGGCAACGATGCGATGCCAAAAGAAGCGCAGTAATGAATGGACATCCCAGGCGGGGGATGCCGTAAGGAAGTTGTTCACTGTGCTGAAGAGCGTGTGTGTGGGATCCGCTACAATGCCAGCACAACGAGCGGCTAATACACCTCCAACGTAGGGAAAAGCTTCAGCACCTGCCGGATCCACCGACTCCAAGACCTCGCAGAGGAGAAGGTAGAGTTGCTGAAGATCCCAGTCCGGAGTGAGTCCCTGCTGTCCAGTAGCTGTGTCGTCTGCTTCAGCATTGTTACGACTGCTTGTCATAATAGTCGCAATGACACGTCGAATGTTGCTGATGGCTTGTATGCGGATCTCGGGGTGCTCGGAGCAAAGGCACAAAAGTAGTTCTCCAATGTCTCCATCATCAATTGCTTCACTCAGCTCTTTCTTCCTCCAACGTGTGAGTCCAGTGTGCTTCTTGTCTTCGACGGGTGGCCTTTCAAGATCGACGGCAGACCTGAGCTTGGCATGCTGCTCAGCCTCTTCCGAAGGCCTTGGAACCGGCGATGTCGATGATCTATCTGAGCCGCTGAAGTCTGCCCCGGTTGCCAGCTTCAAGGCCTCCTTCGCTCTTTCTTTGCCCATTTTCCACAAGAAGGCATCCTTCAGCACCTCTTTGTATGCTACATTCGCTGATTCTACCAGTGCGTCGCGTACGTGTTCCAGTGCTGTCTCGTCTTCGCCAATTAGCTTGAGGAGATACAGCAGTCTCGACAGCCACTGAGCAATGGTATCCGCCGTGTTATTTGTGGCGGTCTCCCCCCCTTTAAAGGGCCATTGTTCTACTAGTGTCATGAGCAAGTTACTGAATGGTCCAAGCCCAGTTGTAGATTGCGCAGTGCGACCACACATGACATCTAAATCATCAAAGTACTTGATAGGCACCTTGGTGAACCGCGCACAGCAGTCGTCCAGGAACTCGAGGACGTCGGTAGAAGGTGTCACTGATCCAGAGGTTGATCCCAAACTAGCAATCAGTGCATCGAGCGCGTCGGGCGAAGTCTTGGTCTGCAACATTTCCTGGTCATTCAAGATGTCGCTCAGGAGAGACCTAATGCCTGTATACAGTTCGCTCTCTTTCGATGTCACCAGAAGCTTGAGAAGTGTTACAAATGGCGAGTATTGAAGTGATTCTGCAAAGTCAGTAAGGGCAGTCCAAAGAAGAAGAGATAACGTACTTTGCTTTTGCCACCAACGCATAGCTGGTGAAAGTTTTGCCATCTGTATCCAGTGTTCTAGCTCCATGATACGGAAAACCTTGTCTTCGGGCGAAGCTGTGGGCTTATCGACCTCTACCAATGCGTTACACAACGGTAGCGAAACATCAAATTTCTCTTGTAGCGCAACTTGGGGTGTGGCTTCATAGTAAAGCCGCAGCAGCCTGGTGATCGATTCCCGCTTCATGTCTTTCAGACCAGGTTTCTTCAGTGCCAAAAAGACTGTGCGGATCGGCGGGCAACGTCTGCTGACCTCTGAAACTAAGCGCTTGGCTGCTTGCTCCCACTGTTTCGAGGATCTGGTGGCACTGGCATTGTTGAGCTCCTGGAGGACGGCCTGTAACTTCTGGAGCGCTACGATTAGAACTCGGATGGCGAACAGCTGGATGAGGTCGGAGTTGTGGTTGAGACATTTAGTGAGCACTTGCTGATTCAGAGGCTGTGGAAGGATGCTGTTCATAAGGACAGGTACCGGCGGTGGATGGTCGCGGAAGTTCCTTTTCGCGCCGAAGTATTTGGGCACAGGGAGCTGGATAGCTTGATACAAGAACGCGGAGTATCCTATCCATGTCGAAGTAAGCTTTGGATCGTAACTGAAGTCGCGTCGTTTGACAAAGTAGTCTGCTACAAGCTCAGGACAGGCTCGAAAGATGTCGACGACAAGCTCTTGGTGAAAGGTATTTGCGTATGGCCTCTGGCTCTGGATGAACTCTGAAAGAATGATGTTCCGCACTTTAACAGTCTTGCTGTAGTTGTCAACTGATTCCAGGCCCAGATCGTTGCCATAGTCAGCTGCATCGTCCAGCTCGCCTTCGTCGTCATCAAAAGTAGACGGGTAGAAGCCCTGTGTTGGTAGCATGACACCATAAGCAGGGTCGGTGCAAACTAAGCGAAGGAAATCGTGAGCGAGCTGATCGGGTGCTTTCTGTCCTTCGGAAAGAGCGCCTTCTTCCACCTCATAGCTGTACAGACTGGCTATACGCGAGAGTGCCTTGCCGTTCAAAATTCTACTCTTGGTGTGCCTTGCAATAGTCTTGTCTTGAAAAACATGGCTTGTGAATACATCGAGGATTTCGTAGATAAGGAACGGCGGGTCCGCGCGGATGTGATCGAAGACGGCACGGACGACGTTGGTGTTGGAGAGTATTTCGCTCTTTGCCCGCTCGTCCTGATACCTCAAATGCATGAGAAGATACCTGATGGCCGTAGTGCGAATGCTGGGTTTCTTGACATGGTCTGCCGCCGACTGCTCTCTTCCGAGATTGATGTTCCTTCCAAGTATCTTCGGCTCGAGCGTAAAGTCTCTCTTGGCGTATACGGCCCTCGCATGCGCACCTTCATTGAACCGAGTAAGCTCTGTGAGCAGTCGCAATGCCGGCGCGATAACGCTCTCCTCCTTGGGTGCCGCTGAGGTACTTCGGACGAAACGACGAGCGACCGATGGCTGCAGCAGAGTCTTGGCCAGCAGAGTGCCGTACTCGAGGAAATCGCCATGGGTCGCAAAAACCTTGAACAGGAGCGCGAGCACAGCTGTTACCTGGGAGACAACGGCGCTGTAGTTGGTTTCGACAGCATGGTCCCACCCGTGAATCAGGTTCTGCAGGAACGTCTTTTCCTTCTCATCTTGGCCTCTTCCTTTCTGTGTGTCCAGGTATTCACGGAGAATGGCTCGCTTGCGGGGCACGTCGTGCTCATCGGTCGGGTAGAGGATCGAATCGAGGAATCGCTTGAAAGTACTTAGGCCTAATTATGTCAGCCGTTGATCATATATAGCATCTGGTTGCACCTACCACTTCGGAAGCCGCCTGAGGAGCTCTGGTCGAAGTACAGCGCATTCTGCAAGTCGCGCCCAGACGTGATATCCTCGGCGGCGCCATTCGGTCGTGGTGAGTTGCGCTCGTGGGTGTCGTCAAATCGCTGACGCTTCGAGTCGCGGTCAGAGTGCGCACTCTTGGTATTGGCCTCGAAAGCCGACCGTTTGCCCATGTCTCATATCCTGTCGCAAACACGGTCGCATGTGTTCGACCTCAAAAAAGTTCTGGAAGTTCTCAGCGGGAGCATGCAGGGATTAACGCGCTAGCCAGGGTCAATGCGCGCTCCCAATCGGCCAACGTCAGTCATCACTCCGCAATCCACATCTCCCACATTTCCAGCACCTCACCTTTGTCTCCTTGCAACACTGCAACATCGTCCAGCATTTGAAACACGTATCCGTCCGTGTAACTTGGTTATTTGGTGTCTTAAAACACCGCGAGGACGAGTCTGTGACGTTCTCCGGATGTCTCAGAGCCTAGAGCGAGGCAAACATGACCTCTCTTTGTGGCCACGGTAAGGGACATGTTGCAGGCTGCTCTCCATACAGACCTGAACAAGATTCTTCAAGACGCTGGTATGACAACGCATAGATTTGATGGCTTCAGTCAAGCCAGACTACTACTAACACATGTCAATCGACCGCGTCGACTTCCAATCTTTCTCACCCACTGGAAACTGTCACCAGCAAACATCCACCCAGAAACGCGCGCTCTGCAACTGTCTACCTCCAAAAAGACTACCTATTCGCGATCAACCCTTGGGCTATAAATTTCAACTCCAACGCAGCTCTTGAGCGGCAATAAAGCGAAAAGAAAAGGTCATACCCACCGAAGACAAAAGGGCAAATAGAAATAAGGGCCGCAACCAGTCTCGAACCAGCACCAAACTCAAGCCAGAGAAAAGGGCAAAAATAAACCTAGGTACGAGAGGTATCTGCTGGAACCATGCGCCCGCGGCATGATCAGCTACTTCACAGAGGCGAGAAAACTGGGACAAGCATCTGGAGGAGTGAGTCTTTGCCATCGCCCTCACAAGCCCGTCGGAATGCCATTTTTTGCTCATTCGGAAATTCCTCAATGTTGCAGTTTAAATAGGCAGGGAGGGGACAGATGAGCTTGTGAAGGCAGAGCGATACTGCGAGCGCAAGTGCTTGTTTGTGGGGTTAAGGCAGACAGCAGTAGGTGAGAGTGCGCAGTGCCAGATGCAGTGGAGAGTCACCTTCACCTCGAACTTCAACCTGATGGCAAAGCGCATGATGCGAAAGCGGAAGCTCCTCTAGTCGAAAGGCTCTCACAACTAGTATCTTAAGAAGTGCCGAAGGACTCCGTATTGATATGAGGACATGCTTTCTATAGTTAGCAAATGGACTCTCATCTGACAAGCTTTCTAGGCAGCAGCGAGACTCAACCACACCGCGCAACCTAGATTTATGATCCAAGAGTCTCCTACCTGAGTAGAATTTACTGCGAATTTTGTAGCAATCGAGTTTATTTCATAGTGAGAGTTGATGTCAGCCACACGCGCTTCAGTTGCCAACCAGAGCTCTGGCATATAGTTCGGCGTTTTAATCGAACTTAACACATGCAGCAGCACACCACACACTTCCATTGTTCTTTCGATTGTTTTATTGTATTTGTTATATCATCTACTTGTTCCGAAGCAAAACCATCCATCTTCTCTTCCAATTACAAGATCCTAGGGTGACAATACCAAGATGCGACCGTTACTCTATTGGGCAAACAGGAGGGCTCAACGTGTTTCTTCTAATGGTGATGGGGGACGGGACAAAGACCACGTTCATGATGGTATTGACCAAGGCTGGAAAATGCAGATATACAAGGAAAGAGCAAATGACACAAACGCCAAATATGCCGCAATGTCGCGATACCATGCAGATGATTTGAGCGATGGGAGATGATGTCGTCATAATGGCCCGAAGCCCTGCGCAACGAGCAAAGTATGGTCCGAGATTATAACGCCGTATAAAGTTTTGGTTGTATGTTTGCCGCTAAACGAGAAAATCCGGGGTATCATGCAGCGACGTGAAAAGGGAAATAAGAGGTCAAGGAAAGAGCGGAAACGGGACAATTGGTGGGTTTGGAAAATTGATTTGTGCGTGTTTTTGGCATTATCGTTTTAAAGGCTTGTGGTACTTTGAGCCGGAGCTTATCGAGTTGTTCTTCTCGCGAATCTGTATGGTCGGGGGTGGTTCTTGGTTCTTGACGGACAGGATGGCGGAGATGGCGAGAGTGATGAGTGTGAGAAGCTCTGCGGAGGCTGCGCCAATGGCGGTGTAGAATGCGACGCCCTGGGGGATTTGTTAGCGGCATGGAGTTGGACTCGGAAGGGGCGCTGTCTTACCTGCTCTTCACAGACGGCGCGGTATTGGTAGCGGCCGTTGGTCAAGACATTCGCGTTGGTGCACGAGTATCTTCCCAAGCTAGCCTTGCTAGCCTTGTCCAAGAGGTTGAAGACGACCAGCGCTGTGATCCACATGATGACGCCAAAGCTGCCAGCGACAATGCGGTAGACGTCGCGCGAGCGGAAGGGCCGGCGGAAGGAGCGCTTGAAGGAGAGGGTGAGGATGGCGACCGAGGCGAGGAAGTTGCCGGCGGCAATGGCGAAGAGGATAATGGTCGGCGCCAGGTTGGTATGGGCAGGCCAGACCATGGGCAGTTCTCCTTTGCGCAGGTCGATGTAGCGATTGCCGCGGTAGATCTCAAACGTGTGCATGAGCATGCAGACGACTGCGCCGCTCAGGACAATGATGAGCAGGCGGAGACATGACCGGACCCGACTGAGCCAATGCGCCCGCGACGAGATGGCGAGCTCGAGAGGCATTGGCAACCTCTTGAACCTGGAGTCGCCGTGGTCCTCGGCCTTGGGGTACGAAGAGGAGGAGCCGACGAGGCGCGCGAAGTTGTAGGGAGTTGGCGGGGGCGGCGACGCAGCGGAGGGTAGGGTGGTGGTCGTAGTGCAAGTCTGGGCAGAGCTAGCTAGACAGGTCGTCGTGGTGGATGTGGAGGGATTGGACGCGAAATAAGCTCTGGCCATGATCTTGGGAGAGGTGTCGGCACAGGCGTGGCTGCTGGGCGGCGCGCACCCCTCGAGCTGCTAATGTCGCCGTGGAGATGTGCCGCGACGAAGTGTAGAGAGAGTCACGGCGGGCCCGGAGCAGAGGACATGTGTCGGAGCAGGACGAGGTGCAATGGACGCGGCGGGAAGAAGTGGCCGTGACATGCCCCCTAGCCCTAAGCAACCACCTTAACGAGGCTGAGTCCCGCCCACGCTTGTTGAGCGCTGCCGATCGGCTTTACGTCGAGACTCTGCATGCGCCAGACGCGTCGGGTTTAGTATTTGCGAGTCTTCATTCGTGCGCCGCGGTCGCGAACCACTCATGCATCCATATCTACGCCCGTCTTCTCGGCGACGTAGTCACTTGCCGTCGAGCATCGTGAAGTCGCTCAGGCAGATTTCGGGGAAGCGCCACCTGCACTAGCGAAATGATCCAGAATAGTCAGATTGCGCCTTCTTCATTGGCCCCGCGTTTCACCCACGCCTCCAGCATATATCTCCGTCAGACGGATGCGCCTCCGTCTATAATCATCCAGCGCAGCAGCACCGCAGTCGCGCTTACTTGGAGTACACTCTCTGATGTGCATGCGACAGTGGCCCACTCCAAACCCATGCCGCCAAGCAACACCTCTTCTACATCACGGGCATCATACTGAGATCACATATCCCCAGCATCGTCTTATTGAGCGTGAGACGCGCGTTCGTCGAAAAAAGGCGTCCAATGGCATCCTCGTCCCCGGCAGGGGTGTGCGGGCCGCTATTGACTCGAGTACAGTAGCCAGCGCCCAGGAACCACTTTCAAGAACACCGCGCGCAGTCTCAAACGGCCCTCTGCCCGTGAGTAGCATGTGGAAGGTTGCAATGTCTACACAGCATTGTTGCAGCAGTCAGGACCCGAGTTCGTATCTGACCTGACATCTGGGCTGTGTAAACACCGATTACACGCCAAGCTGTCGCCCCGCATAGCCACGGACCCCACGGCAACGCAGGCAGACTTGACGTTGTCGCCTGATGCAACTATTCGCGAATGCCCACTCATACGTTCGACGTGTGCGGCATCGTCTTCCGAGGAAAGAACAGCTTCCTGTTTCTGACACTCGATGCATGGCTAAAACCGTTAGCCTGCATGTGGGCCATCTGAATCAATCGCTGCAGGCGGTACCCACGTGCCTGTCGTCACTGTGCAGCAACCACGCTGTGCAAGGATGTGAAGAACTCGATCATCACAAAACATCCATCCTGCTTTGCTGGTTCCAACGCGCTAGCTTTGTATGATTTTGTTACTGCCCAACATACTGCACATCACACCGTAAAAGGACGGAATGAATGCAGCTTCTTCTGGCTGCTAAAGTACTACTCATTGACACGCAGAGAACGTGTCCTTACTATTGTCCGGTCACACACTCGTCAAATAATTCCTCAACTCCAGATGAGGCCTGCATCAAATCCTGCTTTTCCTGCTCCCAGACTTTCGCTAGTCCGTCCGTCTCGGTAGCCTGCATAATCGCGTCCAGCATAGCGACCGATTCCTGTGTTTGGCTTGTTATTTCCTCGATGTCCTGACTACCGGCCTTCTTTCGCTCTTCTACACACCGAGCCCACAGCAAACATATGCCCATCATGATTGCTCCCCTGTACCCCGGTAGCCTAGGCCACGCATTAAGTAGCACGCTTTGCAGCGCTTTCAGCGCTGAAAGAAGGAGGGGCTTGTGACTAAGTGCGAACGGCTCCTGCAGTATAGCTGAGATCAGAGGCACAAGGTCGCGAAGGTGCTTGACGCAATCAATGCCCATGTGGCCTAATAATACGGGGACGTGTGACATGATCAAGGTGGCCAATTCCGGGTACGACGAGGGTGTAGGGAAATGTGCAAGAGGAGAGAGGACCCCTTCACGCAAAATTTTGTCCAAGAAGCGTTCTCGGGAGGGGCCTTTGCTGGGGTCTGTCGGAAGGAGCTGGGCGAGTGAGATGATAGTAGGGAACACTTCTCTGAAAAGCGTGACAGATTTGTTTTCCGGTGTGATGGAAGGGATGTAGGTGAACATGGGGAACAGAGCCTCAGTAAAGATGTTGTGATACCCAGTGCGCTGCAGGAAGCTTGTGGAACTCTGCACGGCTATCGATGAATTCTTCTCAGCGTCTATCCCGATCTTCTGGTGCAGATTCTCGAGTAACAGACCGAGCATGTGGCATCCTCTCGCTTTCCATTTCATATCAATGTCGTCCATCATCTTCAGTATTGGAGGCATCAGCAAATGCCATTTCCCTTCTATCGTTTTCCGATCGAGTGTGCTGGTCGCCCATTCCAGCAGGTCCAAGGCATACTGATTCCCAGTGTCTTTCCAAGGGGCCGGTTGCCGCGAAGCTTCCAGCGCATTCGACGTGGGCTTATTCTGCGGAAAGAGAGGTGGGATGGTAAGCTGAAGAAAGTGATGTGCCAGGCGAAGGGAAAGCTCACTATCAGTTTGTCCGTCCTTAGAAGCCTTTACGGCCTCAATGGCAGCGGTGGGATCAGTTGTGTCGGGATTACGTAGCTGCCAGGCCATAACGACATCGAGGGCGTCCTTCATCCAAGGGCCAGGCTTGGTACCAAGTGCCTTGGCAAGGTCTGTACCTTTGAGAAGAGGTCTGAACGTGTCGACATCAAGAATCTTGAGCTCGGTAACCCGGGCAAGGAAGCTGTCATATGATCGAAGAATTTCTAGAAATAATTAGCAATGTCCAAGTAAGCAAATTGGCAACACTGACCATCTTTTGACACCCGCCCAAGCACAATCTCGTAGACGAGGTTCATAAAGACTTGCGTCCTCCAGCTCGAGCTCCAACGACGGATAGCCATGCCCAAAGTATCCCTGGCAGTGGCATCCTCTGTCGGGTTGATGGTATCCGGTCTCCGAAGTCCCTTGGCGCACCGAGCGACGACGTTGCGAATTTCCTCGCTGTTGCTCAAAGCAGACGCAATGACGTCGCAGATCTTATTTGGGGCCTTGAACCCTTCGCGAGCTACTAGATAAGCAGCGAAGTAAGGTCGCTGTAGTGGCTTCTGATGAGGTATTGTGGGTGCATCCATCCAAGGCATCATGGTTGCGCAAACCCAAGCTAGATACCTCTCGTCCTCGTTTCTCAGCAGGGTATCGGGGATAGCAGCTGGTACATCGGCATTCTTCTCGATGATGGTCTCAACAAAGTTGTATGCTGGCTTGAAGTAGGCTGTATCCGGTTCAGATAGCTCGCGGGTAGGATCTGTGAAGACTGTCCTGTAAAGGCCGAACTGGTCGATCAGCTCTAGAGCCATACGTGGTCTGGGACCCTTCAACATCTTCTCGAGCTCAATTCCGACTCTTTCACGACTGATTTTGATCTTTAAGACGTCTTGTATCTCTGCGTTGCCCATTGCCTTTGCTGTCTCCGGCTCGATCGTGTAATCGAGGCGGCTAGCAAAGCGGATCAGCCGCAGTACCCGGAGCGGATCATCTTTGAAGGTCTGGTAAGGCTCTAGTGGAGTACGGATGATCTTGGAAGCCATGTCTTTGTGTCCCTGTCCAGTAAAGTCTTCGACCTGACAAGTGTGGAGATTGTAGAACATGGCGTTGACGGTAGCGTCGCGCCGCATAGCGTCCTCTTCCGCTGTACCAAATTCCATCTCTGGGTTACGAGAGACTTCGTTATATGTCTCTTTCCTCAGATTGACAAGGTCCAAGTCGATACCCATGATCTTGGTAGTTGCGGTCTCGAGGTTCTTTGACTTTTCGGGGTTTGCCTGGATCTTGTGCAGCCCCGGTGCAATCTTCTTCGTCTTGTCGCGTCCGCTGAGGTCGTCGTTTTTGTCGATCAGACCGTGCTTTTCAGCATTGCCTGGTATCTCGAGATACTCTTGCATCTTTAGGCCGAAATGCTCACCAGTCATCTTGTTGATAGCAACGTCGATATCATGACTGCCAACTTCGAGGAGCTTGTCGCGCACCCATCCGCCAGTCCAACGCAATACAATCTTTTCCTTCGCTAGCTCTTCTGGAACCTGCTCACCAGTGACATCGCTGCTTGAGGGTGCTTCGTCTATGTAAGCAGCCACGTCCAGTAGAAGCTGTCTGAGCTTAGATTCGACCTCGGTGAGTTCCAACTGGGCTGATTCGGCATTATCCGTCGACGCCATAGTGCCGTAGGGGTGAATGAATTTGGGTGAGGGCCGGCCAATTTTGCGCCGTTTAGCGTTTGGTTGTTGGTCTTCGGATGGTGAGCCGGTCCGGGACATACGAGTTGGCTGTAGAGTGAGAGCAGAGAAGGTTCTGGAGAGCAGAAGCGATCGTGATAGTGGCCGAAGTGTGGGTGCAGGGAAGTCACGTTTGTATAGTAGTGAAATTGTCCGCGTTGAACAGAGGAAGGCTCGACTCATCAACGACATCCATATGAGTCAGAAGGATTGCTGCGATGAGGTTCTAGCTCGCAAAGCGCCGTAAGGACAGACAAGAAGGTTGAAGTATGCGTTGTGTGTTATGTCTGCAGACACATGTGCGACGATAGGGAACGGTTGTGTGCTGATGGAGATGCCGCATTTCGTCCAGTCACAAAGCGCAGCGGCCGCAACCGCGATGATGCACCACCCAACGTCGTCACACTCGCGCAGCTACAAACGGGCGGCTGAGTAAAGGAGCGCTTCACTGCTG